TAATATGTACTAAACAATTTCTCAAACAGTTCAGATTTGGATCACGTGTCGCAATATATTAGTTAATCTATATATTTAAGAATGATTTTGAAAAAAGATTTTAATTTGTATCAAAACAAAACTACTTTTGTAGTCTTCTATTTTATTAAAAATTATTTTAAAATAATATGATACAAGCGATAAGAGTGAGCTATATGTTCTCTTACACTTTTAGATACTCGAAGATTCTGAATAATTATGAACAAAATCAAGAAACATGCAAACAAATTTCACATGTTCATTGTAACATTGTTGTTAAACCAAATTATATTAAATGTGGGAGTCAAGGTCATATCTGCAAAAGCCAGCTACTTTCGAACAAACCACACATCTGCTTTTTTATGGCAGAATAGTATAACACCTGATAATCTTAATTGTAGATACTTATACTCTTTGATTTGTTTGAAATATATAACGAAACTATATATAAACAGTAAAAGTATTCTATCAAAACATCAAACAAAGCAATTATGCACATTTAAATTACGTATATGTAAGCTCAATATATAATATTTATATGTACTACGTATAAATATAGTATATATATATATATATATAAATGATTTTTATCCTGCCCCACACAGCTTATACCAACCGAAATAAATTATTTCTATTTATTTTGTAAACGCTACAGTTTGACATTTCACTAAGTGGGGAAAACCGACGAGTTAACTAAATATATAATTGTATCTTTTTTTATATTAGAATTATTGGTTTCATGTGCATAGTTTGTCATACTCGTATAATGAAAATAGTGCAAATATAATATATTTCTTTAAAGTAAGTCTATAGTCTATAATCTGTACGGTACATTATTATTTCAGTATACATATGTTTCATTCACAATTTAATATAAATATTAATAGAAATTATCTGAATTAATTGCTTAAAGGTTTATATTAAGATTATGACTGATGTACAAGGGATGCTCTAAAAATTTTCAAAGTGACATCTTTTGTAAAGACAAAATTTTATAACTTAATATAATAGTTATTATATCGGATAAGACTTATTATATTTGTATTTTATATTATATTTTTATTTTTTACAACCTATAGAATAGAAAAGTTTAATTCAGTAAAAAGTGTCTGCCCATATTTATTTATTGTTAGAGGCTTCACCGCGACTTTTGAGATCTATTCATACAGAGAGCATGTCTTACGCTAATCTGATAACATAAGGAAATTAATAAACCTTACAATATCACTTGGTTTAAAACTTCACACCTCATTTGATTCAATGAGAGCTATGTTAGATGGAGATATTGTATCTGTTTTTGACGATAACAGCAATATTCAAGAAAATAAGCTAAATTGATATAATGGATCTGTTTGTCAACTATCGCAATATACGAACAGATAAGATGCGATAAGGAATTACTTTCCATTTCACAGAATCTGTAAGTATAATTATCATGCAATCTTACCTGTAATAAGAAATACAATATTATTCATTTTTCTGAACCTTGAAAATTAATTTACCAATATTTAGAAAAATTGAAACATTATTTCGAATAAAATTTATATTGATAAATAAATTAAACTGTGATATAAAATATACTATACTTTAATACAGTTAGTCAAATGAATAGTGAATCTGACAGAAACATAATACTCTTATTTTAATCTTAATGACATTCTTTCCATACCCATTCCAGATAATATAGAAAAAATATTTTAATGCCAAACCAACGTGATCAGTTCTTTTTAACGAGTACTACATTAAAAAGGATTCCCATTGTATATTCTGCTAACGCTTATATATTAAATAAAGCAATAGGTACACTCTATTATTGTATTTAAAAATAATAAAAATAAAATATATTTCTATATAAAGCAATCTTGAGGTGTTTTTTTGTAGTCTCGATAATTTTCTCGTCTTTGGTTCACCTTTTTTACGAATGATAAAACTGAATTGTGGTCACTATTTACACGTGACTGGCGTTATCGACGTATCTAGTAGTAAAAAAACGGTTAAAATATATGTATATACCTGAAGATGACCACGATAAAGGATTAAGTTAAACGAAAAGAAAAATAAAAATTGGTTTTTCTTCATATTCTGAATTCCTTTTTCAACTGATAATAAGGATTATCGAGCAAAAATTTTTAAATAATTCTTGCTCACTTGAATTAGTTGCTTATTTTTAAATTCAAATTAGTTGTTCTGTTAGCAATCAGCTGACTTTCTGCTGCTCCATCAGTGTATCTATTCGATAGTAAAAAAGCTCGATATGCCGAAAGGGCATATAATATTTCAAAGGGCTTTAATCAAAAACTACATAAACTGCTATATTAGCTCTAAAAATTTATTACGACTATGCGCCTTAAATGTAAATTTAATCCTCTGTTGGAAGAAAACGAAATTACTTTTTAAACAACCCAATAGATCAACCATTCCATTAATAAATAGCTTTTAGAAAAATAAAACAAGTGATTTGTATAAGCATAGAGTCATATATAAAGAAACGAACATTTTATTAAATGACAAAAAGATATTATTCATACTACTGGGAATAACGCGGTGGAGAAGTCGAAGACCATAAAAAGCTATCAGCATAACAAAACGAATCGATTTAGTGTTGCCAATTCCTTTGTCTGTCTGTTTGCCGGCAAATTAATAGTATTCAAGTTAATCGAATAAAAATATTAACTTTTGACTATATTATTCAGTGTGTTTACAAAATAACTGGCGGAAATTTGATTATATTTAGTACGTGTATGCACACTGAAGCTTAAAAATATTACCAAAAAAACGAAAAAAAAAGTTTATTATATATAAATATATACATATTACATTGGACACATCCCCTTTGCAAAGCGGGCTTTCAAATGGATATTAATAGAATTAAAGAAAAACAAATTGTCTTATCATCTTAATTAAAATATATATATAAAAATAAGCAACAGTCAAAGTGTTAGCTACTTTCTTTTAATCTCTATTAACTGCGAGGTTTCTTCATAACCTCTCTCTACGTCTTGACTGAATTATGGTTTATCACTTTATCAGACTAAGCAATAACTGACCTCAGATCTGCACACCTCCTCGAGGAGCCTGTAACCATTCTGCGATTCGATAACGCGGTGTTGGTAGGGTCCTTTATGTATTTTTTTATCGGATCAATCTTAAGGTCCCTGAGGACCTTCTCCGAGCCTGACTTTGTGCAATTTCTAGCTGGCGAATAGTAATGTTTGAGGCCTTGCTGAACGTTACACACCCATATAGAAGTGACGGTCGAAGTTTTATGTAAAGGGTTTCTAAGTTTCAGTATCATCTTATATGTTTAAGGAACAATTTTATTGAAGAGTTACTTTTAATATGGCTAGCTTTATGGTTCATTTAACACGTGGAAAAGAACATAAATTGCTATAATAAATAAATATAACACAATAAAATCGGTATTTTATTCCTAAATGATATACACATATATTAAATAAACAAAAATATATATAGAATATTTACGTGTTCCTTGACACTACTTTAGGAGAAGATTTAATTCGAAACGATTTTGTAAATTGTAAATTAGTGGTGTAAGTCCATTATAAATATTAAGCCAAATACAGGATTACAAAAAAATCTGGTTGATTAGTTATAGTGGCGACAGAGCTTTTTCTATTCTCCAAGTAGCGCCTAGGTACTAGTTTGATAGACCCAATCATAAAAATCGAAGTTACATTGGGTAAGAAAAAAAAAAATTACAAAAAAAAATATGTTTTGTTTCTTTACCCAGGGATTACCTCTTGAATTAAAGATACTCAATGTGTTTTCAACAGTGTATATATTTTATATACATATGTTGTTTACTTTATAGAAACTATTTAAATATATTACTACTCATTATCTGATATATGCATTCTGTGTAAATTTCATTTCTGAAACCAACAGGTTCACATACAATCTTTCATACTAGTTTCACAATTTTTTTTCTTATAATTTGGAAATATTCTTTACTTATATATATATATATATATATATATATGTATAGATACCATACTACATATCAAGGCGTGTGTTTTACTACTTCCCTACTTTCCTTTTCGTAAACAATGAAATTGAAAATAAAAAAAAAAAACAAAAAAAAAAGCACAGAAAAGATAATATAATATTGAAGAGAAGGAGAAGTGGTAGTGGTTCTGTTTACCTACAAAATATACGCAAAAGCACAGCTGTAAGATTATTTTCATATGCTCTTCAAATTGTGTTACAGGATACAAGAGTGGGTGCATTGGAGATGTGTAAATATGTATGTAGTATGTATGAGAAATGGAAAACTTCTTGTGGCAACCTAATGTTGCCCTTGTCATTCGTGGTCCCTATTTTTCTTTTCTTGCTTTCTTACATCCTACTTTTGCTTTGAATATTAAATGTTAGTTACTTTGGTCGACTGTTGTGTGCCGGATTGGTAGATGCAAACACATAAATACATATATGTATAATATAATCATAATAACAACAAGAAGAAATAAGTTCATAAAGTTGTGGAATATTTATTTCATGGCAAAAGTGCTTTGAAGGCAAGTTAATTCTAAAAATAGCTAAAATCGATAAACGAATGTTTTCTTCAGTCATCGTCGTCGTAGTAGTCGTAATTCTTTGTCCTTCTCTTGTATGCTTCCAATTTTATCAAAATGGGATGGATGGATGGATGGATAAATGGTTGCGTTAATATATGGACAAGCATTTGTGTGGAATGAGTTATGTTGTCACCACAACTTGATTTAATTTGGGTAAGGCGATAAATTATCAATTTTATTTATAACATATATTTATGTATATCCATATATACATAAATACACACATATATATATATATACTTATTAGTAGCAAATATCTTAATTGTTTTGATTAAAATAAATAGTGTTTGTGCATATATACATATATTATTACATATTTAATTGATAATAAATAAAATTAAAATTTTTTATTTCAATTTAATTTTTTAAAAAAATATTTTAACTTACCATGAGGTGAAATTCTTTTGTCTGGACTTGTCATATTTAAAATAATCTGCAGGCTGAAATGGGGAATATGAACGTTTAAGTATGTACCTTTTACACTAATTCAAGTGAGTCTCAGTAAATTTTATTATATTATATGTATAATATTATTTAAAATATTTTTATGTATTATTGATAAAAATTGAATATCATTTTAAAAAATCTATTGGTATACATAAAAATAAACAAAAATTATAATTGCATTTTTGTTTCTCTTAACTTCATTCAATAAGCAAAATAAGATGATCTGACACAAACCAGTTAGGTTAGATATAAACCAATTAGGCCTGACACAAAATAATTAGGTCTAATAAAAATCAATTAGATCTACTAAATTATCTCATTTAATATATATGCAAAATACAAATACAACTCTGTGTTTTAATTGTAATAAATGTGGTATTATAATTTGAATTCAAGAACAATAATAACTCAAATGCTAGTTATTATGTTACAATAACTTTTATTACAATAATACAAACTTCTGTTTAACTGTACTTTTTATATAAAAGTAAGTATTTATAATTTGTATAGACTTGTGAAGACTGAATAAAAAAATAAATTGAGATAAAAAGTTATATTTTTAATATAATTTATTTTATCAATTTTTTTTTTTTGGCTTCTTATTCGATAGGGGTTCTTTTAATAATTTAATAACGTATTTATAGAACAAATTAAATATTATCTAAGCTAGTAGTCACTATAATAGGACAGTTTAGCTTAAGAGGAACCTAATTTTTGATATCGCCAACTTATTTATTTGTTATTTTTAGATGTAAACTGTATTTATCATATAAACTAAAAATTAGTTTTGCTAAAAATCAACATAAAAAATCATTTGATCTTTGTGCATCCTGAGTATTGGGATAGATATTCTGTTCTTTTTTTGTTTTCAAATGTAAATTTAATTTTTAATGTATATAATAAAGTAAATATTTTTTTGCATATTAGAAAAAGAAAGTTATATTCTTATAAAACATAAAGTCAATATTATAAAGCGTCCGTGTAACGTATTGCAACCACGCTTTTTGAAAGTTGTTCTAAAGTTCTTAGAGTAGTACATTGAAAGACAGTTTTATTACTACTAATGATTATAGCTTTCGTGTATCAATTTGCAAAAAATATGTCAGCTTTAAAAACTAACTTTACTTTTACTTTTCAAACTTTACTTTAACTTTTACTAACATTTTTAACTTTTACTAACTTTACCTTAACTTTAAGTTTTACTAACTTTAATTACTTTATCTTGAAAGTAATATCATACAATAAATCTTTTAAGTAATTTTAAACCGTACTTCGAATTAGGTTTCAGTTAATCCATTTAGTTTAAATGGTTCTATAAAAACACATTAGGAAAGAAGGATTGAACATATAAAGAAGCATTGCGTGAGCATTTAACTTGGAAAATGACAGCACGATTCTTGTCAAAGTTATCTCCAAAGATACACAGCCTCAACGTGGCCCCCCTTTAAATAGCTACAATCATCCGTTTTGAACTCATGTGTGCAGCGAAGCTTTCCTTATAAATATACATGGTTAAGTATCAGGCTTGGAATCTGATCATATAAAACAACACTACAATGAAAATGAAGAAGAATTCTGTATAAGGATACCGCATAGTGTTAACGACCCTGAGAAATGTTTCAAGGAACACGAGTTAAGAATATACGCCTGGAATGTTCAAACTCTTTGCAGAGAAGGTGCTGGTTAATGCCCTCAAGGCTGACATTGTATTCAGCTCTCCAGGAAATGCGATGGACGGGACACAGATGCTCTAAAAGAGCGCATTGTAAGTAAATAAGTATGCATTTTAATCGTTATTAGTATATGCAAGAAATATGTTAAGAATAAGTTGGTAGACAATTGCAGTTTATAAACTAATGAAGCTATTTGAATAGTAGGGAAATTAGCAAGACTTTTAGTGATCAATCTTTTTGCTTCAATTACCCAAGACTTCCAAATGGTTGATAAAAATCAAAACAAAAACAACTAATATAAAAAGTGATATTATTAATATTGAACTGCATTCGAGATATGTTTTCTATTAATATAAATTATCATTTCTTATCATTCCTATATAATGTATTTTTAACTGAAACTTTACGCATTTTTATATGGAAACTTTTTCTATATGTAAATTTATGATACTGATTAAAAACCTGATAGCTATGAGTCTACTTCTTCAGTTTTTACAATTTTGTTACCTTTAATATACCTATTGAACTTAATATTGATAATTAAAAATTAATATATTCTATTTAAAAATTTTTTTTAAATATATTAAATTAAGTAACTAGGAAATATGAAAAGCAAAAATATTTAATGCAAAAAGAAATTTAATTTTAAAAGAATTGATCTATAATCTAACATATCATATTTTTTCATTGACTTTTCATCAATTCTTGAGAGTAACTAATTTAATATCAATTAAATTATAAATTGTAAACTTATAAAAACAACAACAAAATAATTATTTAGTTCTAATCACTCTATTCTATGCTAACAACATTTAAGCAATATAAACTTATCTATTTATTTAACCTTTCACACTACAAACTGATCTTTTAAATTTTTTTTTTAAATACATTAATTTATATATATTATAATTAAATAAAATATTTTTTAAAAAATACCTTCTTTCAAATTAATTGATGACCAAATATTTCATGGAAATTTATATCCAAAGTCTAGATTGGAATTTCTAAAGAGGAAATGAAAACATCAACAGTGACTAGCTTAGCTTATCTCAATAATTCGTCTCATTCATAAAATGCCACAGAACAACCAACTGATGATTCCCGAATCATATATAATTTCCCAGAAAACAGTATGCAAAACATACATATTTGCGCTTTAATATTTGTTGGTTTAGTTACTGAGACTTTCACGATGGAGAATTTTCACAATATTTTTTGTTGTTTTCTCTTTCTTATTTTTGAAGTAAGTTCTTTTTGTTTTTCTTTGTGCTATTATTATTATATTTTATTTTATTTTTTTTTCTGCTTTTCTACTTGCTACTCAACACATAAAATCAGCAATATACACACTTGTTACATAAATATCCAAAAGTGTTTCGTTTAAAATGGGATGCGAAGTGGGGTCGGGGATTTATTTATTGAGGGCGAAGTGAAGTACGACGGTGGTATCTCCGCGCGTGTTATGATTGAATCCAACGGAAGTGGACGCAGAAGAACGCAGAGCTGGCAACATAAAAAACACTCACAACACACCCGCCCACCAAATATGTGGTGGTTCAATTAGCAGTAAACGTATTATTCCAATTAGAAAATATACAATATTATTTTTATTAAATTTAACATTATTTTTTTATTATATTAAAATGTATAAAACTTCATTTTCATAGTTTATTATAGAAAAACACTCTGTTTCACACATTCATTTATTTTCCATTATTTTTACACTTTTCCTACAATTTCGACTATTATTCAAAGAAGACTGAGTCGACTGTTTTTTTCCACTTTGCTTCTACTCTGATGTAAAACTTTTGAGTAAAGTTTAATATAGTTCTCTCATTTTCGCAAATATTTTTGATACTTTTAAACTTTACACAAAAAAGGCTATTTTTGTGTACATTTTGAGTTGCTGCGGTAAAGGTAAACGAATTCTTATATAGGATATATTATTATTAATTATACATTCGTTGTTAAAAGTTGATAGTATTTGTTTCATGATAAAGAAAATAATTGAGTTATTGTTTCTGTACTTTTCATATGTTTTCAATTTAATTATAATACATTGAGGTAGCGCTGATGTATAAAAGAATTATTCGGAGCCAGACTTATGATTGTGTCAAAATAAATTTTTGTGATGTTGGCAATCATACATACAGTCTTAACAGTATTTCATTTGTAAGTACTTTATTTGCATAAGGTATTGTATTGTTTTATTATTAAATTTTAATTTTATGTTTCGAACTATCGTTTAAATGATATGATTTGTAAAATACTTTTAAATGTTTCAAAATCGTTTATGTTTATTTTTCATGAAACAGAATAATAATGAAATAAAATCAATTAATTCATATATAATTCATTTATTGTATATATAAAATAAAAACGAATACAGCTTTTATAACGCATTTAAATTGTTTTCTATTATTTTTGCAAATGTTCTGAAATGGTTATTTTATTATATATTTTATTAAATATTATGTAAGTTATTTTCATATATTAATATTATTAACAATTATCTTAATTTAATTCAAAAATTTTGGAAAAACTATATTTTGATTGCTAATATTCTAATCTTTTCATTATATTCATATTATATCGTTTATAAAAATCATTTTTTTCCAATTCGCAGCAAATTCCTTTATCTTTTTGTATTTTCCAGCATATAAAGCAAATGATTTCTAAATTTTAATAAATATTCATTTATAAGATTAAATTGAATTTATAAATTATTATTCTTTAATATTAATTTGGTTTCAAAAAACGTAAAATTAAAAATATTAATGCTTTGTATAAAATTTATTAACAAAATGAGTGTTAGTTTTGTTACGGCGATGCAACTATTACACGGCGTTGAAATTTTTGAGTGTTTTTGTTTTTATTTTGACATTGGGAGGATATTCGTTTTCTTTGTCTTATTTTTGTTGATTGCGTTTATCAGCACTTTTAGAAATTGCCATATAATTTCTTTTGTTTTTACATCTTGCAAACAGTTACTTAAATAAGATATAATAATTTTAAAATTGATCTGATTCAAAATATTTAAAGTGAAACATTTGACTGAATATTGAAGTAGAAAAGTAAGTTATTAGATACATATGTAATAAAATAAGCGCTTATAAGATTTTATTAAGATGTTTAAAAGTTTAAATATATGACATGATTTTAATGATGTTAACTGTTTAGTTTAATCAATTATAATGGATGTTAACGGGGATAACTTTGATTCTCAACAACAGCAACAAAATGATCAACAAATGCAATGCGATTCTTCATATACGTCCATGAACACATTCGAAACTACGCATTACGGTCCGCACATGCCGCTTGAATTACCAATGCAAACAGCAATTCCACTTCCTGCTCCTCCAGCGCCATTGGCAATAACTAAAGCGCATCAAGCACCTACAGCAAATAATTCAACAGATATTGACTCACTGTTATTACAACAGTTTAGTTGTCTCGGCACAACAGATCATGAAGAACTTATAAGACAATTTCAAAGTTTAATGAATAATCAAATGAACGAAGACTCTGCTAGATTTTTCCTTGAAATGAGTAATTGGTAAGATATATATAGGCACGCATTTATTATATTTTTATTATAAATGACCAACATATTTCATAAAGGAATTTGCAAACAGCAGTAGGTTGTTACTTAGACTTCTGCAATTTTCAAATAATTCCATCGGTAAAAATTCTTCAAAAAGGTAATCCTTACTATGTGCAGCAGACCTGGCAAATACAAAATGATGGTACGGAAGCTTGGCCTAAAGGTTGCTATATCATGTCTGCTAGTCAATCAAAGCGTTTTGAACTGCCAATCATTAAGCCAGGTGAAACATGTAATTTAATTGCAGAATTTAATGCATCACATCCACCAATCATGTGGCGTTTTTGTACACCAAATGGATGGTATTTTGGAGGTACACAATTGTAATTATATGTTAAACTATGAATTTCTTTGATTTTCATATTTCGTAGATGCTATCTGGATGATTGGCCCAGGTAGTTGTGCACCAGAAGAACTAGCTGAACGCTTATCGCAATTAAGCACTTCCCCAAGCTCAATGACTCCTGAAAACTTTCCACAAATAAATATTGTGATATCTGTTAATATGGATTGAGGCTAAATAGTGTCGGTTTCACAGATTTTCATGTTTATACTTAAAATAATACGAACGTTATTTTAATTTTTGTAATGTCTGTTTTACATTATAATCTATACATTAGTTATTTGAAATTTTTTCTTTGGTTAAGTTAAAAAGTTTAACAAATAATTATTTTAAGTACATATATAAACTATATATACATGTATATGTCTATTAGGTGTAAGCGAAATTCTGTAGATTTTACGGCTTATTAAAAATTTTAACCAAATTGTTAAAGAGAAAAATATAAGTGCTTTTAATTGTTACATAAATAAAAACTTTTGAATAATTATTATTTGGAAATAAAAATTAAATATATGTAAATGTAAATGAGTATGCTGTATTTTATTGTATTTTATAAAAAATTTTATTAATGTTTATAAATATATTTCAATTCTTCAACAACGTAATAGTTTAATAGAATGGAATTATTTAATTAAATCTCAAAGTTGTCATCTTCCAAATAAGTTTGGAAATTAGTTTTCCTTGTTATTTACAGAGATATTTATTGGGTATATGTCCCATGAGTAATACGGTACACGATTTGTTTTTAACTGATTTACAAATCTATTATGTTAGCAGCTCTTGTAAATATTATATGTTGGATATCTGAACTAAAAGTTTTGATAATACGAAGAGATAGAGAGTTTTTTAGACTATCAGGAACACTACGATTTTTAATGTTTTTAATAAATTTTGAGCATATATATTTTAATATATATATATGTATATTAAGAGGCGATTTCACAGTAGAATCTAAAGCTTTCAAACTGACAAGTTTGCGTTAATTCAGCGAAGTGGATGATTTAAGCATGCCTTAAGCGTGTATTACACATGTAAAATTTTTTTCAAATTTTTTTATGAAATGCGAAATTTGTGCAAAATTTAATGTGTAATAGAAACATTTGAAGTTTGACAAAAAATTTTGATTTTTCCTCAAACTTGCTGGTGTTTTTTTGTATACAACCGGAACGATAACAGTGTTTAAATGCATGAATAATTTTATTTTGTAATATATTTGTTTTTTTTTTTTTTAAATAATGTGGACTGTTTTGATGTGTAATAGCCAACGACGACAAAAAAGTTTGACAAAAAATTCTCATGTGTAATATGCGCTTTAATAAGATTAAAATCATACCTGTGAATTGGGGTCTAAATATTGTATACTTTTAGTGCCGTTTGAATAGTGCAAACAAGAGATTCACTTGCCTCTGCCCCTTCTTAATAAATCAATGTATTACATAATTTTAAATAAATTTGTTATTAAAATATATCTGCCTGTATAGGTAAATTTATATTAATATAGAACCAAATAAATTCTTTTTATTTCCGATTTATAACTTAATTTAAATTAAACTATTTCGGGCGTTTGCATTTAGTTAAGAATCCCTTAATTTATTCTTAACTAAGTGAGAAATCACAAAAGCTCTGTGAGGTTAATCAACGATTTATGATTTACAACCTAAATCAAATAAACTGCTTTAATGAAGGCAATGGAAACATACTTTTATATATATTTATATTTTTTAGAAATTGTATAAATATTAATAAAAATAATATGCAAAAAGAATTTTGTTTTAATATTATAAGTTCTTCATAATTATATATAAAAATTTTATGATGAAATGTTAATTATAATAATAATAATGTTAAGCAAATATTTTTAAATCCTTGTTTAAATATATTGCTACATAAAATAATTAAATAATTTTTTAATAGCGTGTATTACAATTAAAATTGTTAGCATGCAAATATTTGTTTTATTTTTGTAGATAAAATAATGCAAAATATTATATATTTTACTAATTTAAAATATGTGGCAACGCTCAGCAAAAAACATACTTATAAGTATTTTTCTGTTTGACAATATATTAATTTAGTTGATAATTGCGTGCGTCGGGAGGTTGGTGGTGTGTTATTTGTTTTTTAAATAAATTGTTGCATTACCTAGAAATTTGTAATTGATGTTAACAATTTTTTTGTAATTAAATGAATAATTGACACTTTACATTTGTCTAAATTTAATTATTGTTAAAGAATATTAAGGCATTACAATTGATTTTTCTTTAATTAAATAAGTACATCAAGTTATTTAACATTAGAAAAAAATTGTATCAATCACACACGGAAGTGTTTGCGTTTGTAAGAAAAAAAAAACCCAACGTAGTAACAAAGAAATTCTGAACATGGAATTTCAAAACGCAAATTTAATTACTAAAACTGAGACAGGTACAAGTCACCACTACTCATACAAAGCAGAGCTTCGCCTTATTTACATTTTTACTTATTTACAGAATTAAATGATAAACAATCTAATCATTATAATAATAATACACAAAATGCGTCGTTGATCAGTCCCGCTGCTACAACAATATCCACTGATACGTCACAGAAACAAAAACCACCGAAATTACAAAAACAAGCAATGTCCGCTGCTGAACGAAAAGCAACAGAAAAATCTCTAGTCATATTGGCTGCAATATTTTTAACAAGCTTAATAGCAATGTGCTACGTTTGCATGATATTTCCTAAGTTAGATGAGTAAGTATCATAATGTATTATGAAATATTAATATAAATGTAGCACCCATGTTGATTAAGAATCGGACGTAATAATAAATTAATATATTTTTCTTACATGATTAATATTCGTATGTAGTAATACCGAATTATATAAACAATTAAAGACCAAAACGTGACTCTGTACAAATATTTATATGAGCACATAGTATGCATAATGGGAGATTGTCAGAGTACAGCTATCAGTTCTTTCACTCGTGAAGTTTAATCGTTAAATAGTTTAATCATTTATTAACTGATCTTGAATTGGTTGCTGACGGGCATATGTACATATATGAAGAGCTTAAATATATAATAATAGTTCCACATTTATCAACTGAGCAAAAGTTAATTCTAAATAAAGGCCGACATACTAAATTTTTTCGATTATTTGAAGGCAAATGCACATAAACTAAAACTTATGGCTGAAAATAACCTTCAGGTTATATATGTAAATGAAAAGGTTTTATTAAATACATACATATATATATATATTTAAGATGTTCTTCAAAATTAACACTACTAATTTTTGGTACACTGAATTATAACTGTATTAGCAAATAAAATTAATTTAGTTACCTTAAATTATGTTTAGTTTAGGTAATTTGTGGAATCGTACATATTATATTTTTTCATTTACGAATAGTGTTATCTGCACAAATAAAAACGAACACTATTAGAACTAGAATATAAAAGGGATATAGCCTCCCAATAGAGCAGAACACTGCCAGCATGGTAGATCTTTTGTGCTAAAATTAGCAAAATTAACACTAAAAAAAAATATATGATGTATTTACAATATATAGTATTTATTTATCTACTAAACTTTTTAACGAGCTGTTTACTTTTAATTATAATTTCATTACCAAATTCAGAATATAGTATTTCAATCGAAGTCATTATTCGTGATACGGTTAACCACGTATGTATTTCTTAAATTCTTTCAGTTATAATTAATCGCTGAAATGAGTTGATTTTGTTTGTTTTAAGTTAAATTAAAAAATAAAATAAAATAAATGTAAAATAGTAGAATATTTAATCAGTTATTCTGGAGTTCATTGAAAAAGAATGGAGTTCATTTATGTTTAAACGTATCAGCTGTTGTTTTATCGAATAGCAAAAAATATTATCAAAGCTATTGACTGATAACTTTATCTCCGTTATTTCGGTAATGTAATAATTTCACATAAATATATTTTACGTAAAAATTTATAAAGGACTTAGTTAAGGACTATTCCATATAGCTTCATTTTTTATGCTAATCATTTTAACATCACTATATTCAGAACCATAATCATCGTAATCTTAGTCTATTGGATTACTTATTTTACTTATATTTTGTTATGCATTATTATTATTAATAGTACTCGTAAAGTTTATAAAGATTAAAGATTAATAAAGTCAATTAGGGTTCTCTACTATTTATGTCCTTTTTAAAGTGTACCACATTTTATATTTCATAAATAAATATCAATTGATGTCATTTAGAAATATAGGGATAAGATTTATTCTATTGTAGATATAGGTATTAGACCATTTTTTGTGTAACAAACTCTGACGAGAGTTGTGACCGGCATTTCGTATATATATAAGTATGTAGACTCTACCATTCTTTGATTATAAATTAATCGCAAATTTTGCTAAAAGCTAGGCCTTTGCAGTTTTCAAATGAAAATCAATACGATTTCTCCAAAGATTTTTACAAAACTTTCAATTGAGTTAAAAGAAATAACATCATGTGAAGACTAATATAAAAGTAAGAATCCAAGTTTGTTATGCTCAAACTTTAAATGTAAATACTTCTCAATTTTAAATCCTAGTTTTATAAAGTGTTCACACTCACACTTATTAAATCTCATTAGCATATTTTTTTATAGATGTTGTAAAAAAATATCAGTTATTTGTCCTGTTAATTGCGAAAGTGTAAACGTTCTGTAATTAACATTTTACTATTGTAACCAACTTGTAGTTCGAACGTACTGTTTAATTTGACAAAGGACTCCTTTTAAATTGTGAGACTTTAACCTATCGTTTATGTTGTAGGTGTGGGCAAGTTACTATAAAATACAGTCTTGAACGCTCTTAGAATTAATTTAATAAAGCTGTTATATTTTGAAATTTATAAAAATATAATAGTAGCTTGCAGCCAAGATAGTAGTGTAAATAAAGTTATACGTATTTAATAATCAAACACTTAATATTTCCCATCGACATAGATAGTACAGACAGTACTTACATCTTAGTATGGAGTACATATTAACTTAAGTAGATCTCTTTATCTAATCAAATATTTTAATAGAATTTATATATAAGAATTGATATATGAAAAATTTATATCTTTGTGTAAAGTATAGAACTACTACTATATGACAACCTAGAAAACAGTTTAAGATTTGATCTATTTAACTTTATATCAGTTTAATATTATTAATCTAAACTCTCTTTGCGTTCATTACTTGAAGAGATCTGTTGCTAACACCCCATGTTGGATGCTATGATTACTCATTCATTGTTGCACTGATTACATTAAATATATACATATGTATTCGCTACTAATATGCGATTATATTAGTTAAATGACATACAATTTGAAACAAAGAACTTAAAATTGGCTTCATTGAAATATGAACTTTTTACAACAAATTGTATAGAGTGAATTTAATACAGTAATTGTTTATTAAATCCCATAAAACAGAAGGCATTCAATAAACTTCACGCGAATATAAAAAAAAACTTGTATGTCTGAAATTTCATTGCACCATTGAATGATGTGTTTGCATTTTATTCGCTTTCGTAAGCGATTTTGCTTAGTTGTGTTAGTGACACAAATAAGCAACATCAAGTCACAACATCACCACAAGTACACATGAGCAATTGAATTTTAAATTGGGTTTGTTTTTCTTTTTAGGTCAGAAAAGGCGCATATTAAAATACCACGTGATATACAAGATGCTAAAATGCTGGCAAAAGTACTGGATCGCTACAAGGACATGTATTATTTCGAAGTTATGTTTGGAGTGGTCGTCGCCTACATATTGTATCCTTTTCAAATATGAACTTTTTACAAAGTTGTTAAATCGGTATCAAATGATCAAGTCATAAAAGGCTAAAATTTATAAATTTTATATGAATGAAAACGACATCGAAAGTAGATCCTATGATGTATGTATATAAGTTCTTGTTCTGCTCAATGAGATTAATTGATTTATCTTTATATATATCCGTTTTTTTAACTTTTTATGTGCGTATATCTCATAACAGTCCCTTACTTTTGGAGTTTAACGAATTTAATTTTTGGAAACAGATCTTGTGTATGCGTCTGTCCAAAATCAATGTACTACAACTCATAATAGGTATATGGATCTAACAATTAAAACTAGTTTCAAGAACCACCAAATATACGTCTCACAGTCACTCGTCAATTTCAACGACCAACTGCCATTCAACACATCCAAACGGGACGACATAAGCAGATTCTTGCGAGCTCCAACAATAATTGAAATTGAAAAATTTGTCGTATTGTGTTTACAGGCATTGGTTTAATAGTTATATAAAAGCTATTATACTCTTGTTATTTTGAAAGCAGAATTGTTATGTTTCTGTTATTTTGAAAGTCTGTGTTTTGAAACAGAAGGTATCTAAAAATTGTTATGCTTCTGGTATCTTAAAAGTCTGCATTCCTATTAATTATTATTTTCTTTATACCACTCAGTTTTTTTAATGTTACCGCTCTTGATGAGATATAGTATAAAGTCCCAAAAACAAAATTGAAAACTTTGTTTAAGATCTGTTTTAAAATGACTTTGCTCATGAAATTTGAAAGAAAAACGGTCCATATTAAATACTTTTTTAATGTAAAAATGTAAAAACCATATATAATATAATCCATAAATGCGACTTGGTAGTCTAGACGCCTAAGGAGCCATAATTATCTGCTTTATTTGCTCAATTTCATTTAACAAGCACAAACCTGCTTTAAAGACTTTATTTGGAAGGTACTAGGTCATATGCTTAGATAGGTAATAATAATAGGACTTAGGTAATCAAAGTTGAGAATTTCGTATACGCACTGCGTAGCGAATGACACGTGGTAGTATGAGTCGATCAGTGCCACCGGTATATAGATCCGCTTGCTTTTAGAATCAATATATCTTTTTTCCATACTTAATATTTTCTGCTAACTTATAATGGGATACTGTACACCACTTGTGTAATTGTATATTACTTCAAAAAATTATAACGATCATACAACTGATATTTTAAGATGATTTAGTTATTTATTTTAAAGCTTTATATTTGTCAATATATTTGCTAACCGAATTGTTTTAATGGCTTCGGATCAATGTCGGTACATATAATTATCTCTCCGCCAGCACAACTCTCTTTTTATTTTTGTCTTGATTTTGAAAATTCTTGATGGTTCTTAATAATTTCTTTAAGAATTTTGTCAACTTATTCATTGAGTTATTATTACAAACTGGTTGCTTATGTGCGAATAATATTTACAGATAACTCTGTGAAGGCAAGAGCTCTGGTTCTTGCACCTACCACAAAAGTCAAGAGCTTTATGGCATACGCTCCAATAAAATAATGCGCTAAAAATACTTAATTGAGCACGTCATATGTTGCGTTTTAGCAGTTTTTCTTTTGCGTATACATGAACTATACAAACATCTATGGTTTAGTGAGATATTTGGAGAAAATTCAATACGAAATTGTATATGTGTGCTTGTTTTCCTCAAGCATGTGCTTTATTCATAGCATGCTTTCGATGAGGTAAAATCATACGCGTGTCGCACAGTCTGGTATATTTAGGGTCAATGTTTTAATATTACTCCCACCAATGTTGTGATACAAATTATTATTTTGTATAATTTATTGGTGATTTTTTGATTCTAACTGGGTCAGATCCGTCTGACATATTAACTCATAAAGTCCTGTTTTCTAGTTTTGGTGAATTTTTTAATTATACGTTCTAGTAACGATGCTAAAGATATAATTGTACATTTTCCATGAAGAATACGTTTAGTCAAACTTGATTCCATTAGTTCGTCAGCATAGCTAAGTTACTACGTCCTGTTGTTATTGTGATAGCTTATTAATAGATTGATAAAAGTTTAGAATTGAAATTCTACGCATTTGTTTTGCAGTTTATTCTGAAGTACAACAATATTATATCGATTGTAGACGTATTGCGATATATGTTTTGTCAAAATTACGGCATTAAATATGCTAAGTGAAAAGATCTCAAACCCTGTTTTAAAGACCGGTGGCCAGATTTTTACTTTAAAGGGGGTTCTCGAATAAAATGCTGGATCGACTATATTTTTATTTACCATTCAGTCATGTCATGGTGCATAAATAATAAATAGATATATGTATACATATAAATCTTCGATTTATTTTAGAAGGGAGGCATCAGACACTCAAGCACACCTTGGTTACGTAGCTGCCTCTTTACCATTTAGCTATAATCTTTCTGTAAAGATTTTTGTGTGATGTTTAGACAGCATTTTACCATTTGTCCGTACTAAATCGGTTGAATTCATTACATAGATCAACTGTTTATATACATACATATATTAAAAAGGATCTTTAAATTTAAATCATTAATAAAAATCAATATAGCAATTATTAAATCATGAAAGCCGAACACATATATAAACAATGTTTATTAAATATGATACTCGAATATTGCTACTCGAAAGAGCTGCTATGTCTCTCAGCTACAACAATTCTAAACTACATTTTCCTTAACTTTTATTTTATTTTAGCCTTCAAACGTTTGCCATTCCAGGTTCATTATTTCTTTCAATTTTACTTGGATTCTTATACCAGTTCCCGATTGCGCTGTTACTAATTTGTTTCTGCTCTTCGTTGGGTGCGACACTGTGCTATTGTCTTTCGAATCTTGTTGGACGCCGTTTAATACGACACTTTTGGCCAAAAAAAACTAGTGAATGGTCAAAACACGTAGAAAAACATCGTGATAGCCTTTTTAATTATATGCTCTTTCTACGTATGACACCAATTCTTCCAAATTGGTTTATTAATTTGGCATCTCCAGTAATTGGTGTACCACTTTATACATTTGCTTTTGGTACTTTTTGTGGTGTTGCTCCTCCATCTGTAATCGCTATACAGGCAGGCAAAACTTTGCAAAAGATGACAAGTTCAAGTGAGGCTTTCTCCTGGACATCTATGGGTATATTGACATTTTGTGCTTGCTTATCGCTGCTACCAGGACTACTCAAGAATAAATTAAAAAAAAAATTGGAATAAATTTACATTTAAGATTGCCATTTTAAATTTTGAAAATGTGGAAAATTAAGCATTTCGTAATTATTTTTTGTTTTAAGTTTTCTTTTTTTTTTTTGTTTTTGCAACAAGCTGTTCCCAAAAATGTATATTTTATTTAAATATGTATTGTGTGTTGCGTGTGTCACTTATATATTATGTAAGATTCATATAGAATTACAATTACACAGTATTTTTAAAATTAAAACTAAATTGTTTAAATATATTAATTATTTTTCGCTATGCTATGATATATTGTATTATATTAATTTGCCAATTCTGCATATATTACTTTTAAGTCACTTTAAAATGATATTTTAGTAACAATACAAATTCCATTTTTAATATTGTATATGTGTGTAAAAAAAACTGAAAAAATGAAATAAATATTGAAACAGTTAAAATTCATATAAATTGACTCTTTAAATTAAACTGATTATCTAAAATCAGAAGATTAATAATTATTTCAAGTGCGGTGGAGTTTAAGTTGCGGACTAACTCTAATGTAAAGACGATCCTATCAAAAATGCAAAATGAAGTTTCCTGTCTGGGCAGCAGCAACTATCAATTGTATTAAATCGCTGATAAATAATGCCAACTAAGCGTGATATATTCTCTCCTGGTTTGATTTATTGAAATATAGAATGAGACTGGAATATTTAAACCAGTTCAACTTGAGTTAGATAACTCATATACAATATTATCTTATTATGAATATTGTTAAGGCAGTGTTTATAGTACTATAACACTATGTTAGCCTTGTGCAGTTTTTTTTTCCATTTGCACTCTAACGGGGATTAGGAATATATTATGTTATGGATATTCATATATTTATCAATTTTACTGGTCTAGCAACCGCTCCCTAAGCGGTCAAATAATTTTTCCACTCGAGATTAAGCGAACATCTCTCATAATATAAATGTACAACTAATATGAACGCGTACTTTGGTTTCCTTACTTGATTTGGAGAGATGAGCGCCACTCGGCCGTCTATGAAAACGGCTATTTCAAGGACGTAATAAGATTGCGTTTCGAATCCATTCTATGTCTTTGGCTCTAATTTACCACAGTAAGTAAACTCCTTAAAATAATTTTTTTGTTATTTATAATTGTAAATTTCTTTTCACGTTTAAAAAAAAATCCTATTTTATTATCCATATAAAATATATTTATTTTTAACCGTTTTCTTTTTAAATTAAATTACATGTATTCAATATATGATATTCATGATTCGAGTTAAAAAAATTCATTGGAATGATTGATTTATGTTTTAAATCCTAGAGGCAATACGTTTATGTTATTTAAAGCAGACTTAAATTCTTTGGAAATGATTAAAATAATAAACATAGGTAATAAACATAATATAAGCAATATCAAAATATGAGAAGCCAAAAAAAATCTAAGATTTCGTAGTCATTAGAGTTTACTTCATGATCACTTAAGCTATTCCGATGGGGTTAAGTCCTTTTCTTGTTCATTTTCGTTTAAGATTTGTGATAGCAAATCATGTACAGGCTCAAATACTTTTTTTGCTCCAGTATTCGTTAGATTTTTATAATCAAACATATCATGATGACTTATTGTGCCATCAATTTGTATTAAGTCCTTGCCTATGCAAACAGTTTGTATTCTATTGAGCGCAACCACCTTTTCTTTAACGATACTATTTACTTCAGAAAATTTTTCGCGTAACTTATTAGGATGTTGACCGCGTGGTAAAATTGTCTGTTAAAGAAAATTTATATTATATTAACACAAAAAAAAAAGAGTTAAATGAAATTTAGTTTTCAATATTTTACCACACTAATTATATGAAAATATAAAAAAAGCACTCAAAATTTTTTCTCTCACCGGTAAGACAATATATACATCTGGTAATTTTGTTCTTATTTTATTAACTATTTCAAGAATGCCATCAGCTATTTCTGCTGCACTGTTATCCACATTATTTGTGCCAACATGTAAAACTACTATCTGTAAAAGAAGAAAACATTAATATAACATTAAAAGTAATTTATTTAGCCACACCCACCTTCGGCTTAACATTATCCAGTTCTCCATTTTCAATACGCCACAGCACATGTTCTATACGATCATTTCGTATGCTAAAATTTAAACAATGCATTGGAGCAAAATATTGATTCCAGGTGTCTGTATCATACAATGTTGCAAATATGCAATCTCCCAAAAATATGACGTCTGGGTCCTTTTCTCTGCATTCACTTAGGTAGCGTTTATGAATACTGGCCCAACGGTCATCGCCATCTATATCCGGGCGTTGCGTAGCCACAGCGCAAGGATTCATCATCTACTCTAAAATGCTACTAATGTCCAGCAACTGATTCGTAATAAATATAATCTATTTAATATTTTGTAAACTGTTTTACCTAAAAAATATATGAACGAAGAATGACAATTGACATTTACTTTATTGCATTAAATTGACATGATTGCCATGCTTCCACAAAAACTTTTGTTATCGCTTTTAATATCGATAAAAAATTTTTGTATATGGATAATTATAAATATATTTGGTTGGTTGGTTGGTTGCAGTGGCAGGTCATAAGATAACTTCAAATGTACCTCAATTAGCGATTTTTCGCCGTTTTGTTACCACATTCCTCGCAAGAACCCTAGTATAGAAGAGTAGAGACTAAATCCATCCCACCGAATTTAGGTAATTTAACAGGTCTTTCATCCTTACCATTGAGCAGTCTGATAAACTATCACAAAAGTATTTTCCTAAAAACCTATATCTTCTGGATGCTAGAGCTGGGCATTCACAGAGAAAATGTATTATTGTTTCTTTCTCCCGCGGGTTTCCACAACTTCTGCAGTGAGAGTTATGGGGAATACGCAGTTTCTCTGCGTGAGTTCCTAACCACCAATGACCAGTAAGAACCGCGATAAGCCTTGCAGTGTTTACGCGATCTTTTTTGATGAGTTCCAGAGATTTATTTTTATTATAAGTGGGCCACGTTAACCTGGAAGTTGCACATGACCTTAGTGCTTTCCATCTGTTATTGGCGAGTTGCAGAAAGTAAAGAAAGGTACTTCTTTTGATGGTCTCCAGGGTAATATAGACTGATACCGCCAGTGACGCATCTAGGGAGGCACCAGAGCGGGCTAAACTATCAGCTTTCTCATTCCCTACGATGTTCCTATGCCCAGGAACCCAGATGAGTGTGATATCGGCCAACCGGTTTAGCTCGTCGATTGCTTCTCTACATTCTTTAACTATTTTTGATTTTGTTATAAAGGATTCAAGAGCTTTAATTGCTGCCTGGCTGTCAATAAAAATAGCAACACTACATCTGTTCTCGATGTGGCTTGCAATTTGCCGACAGGCTTCTTTTATTGCTAGGATTTCAGCCTGAAAAACCGTAGCTTCATTAGGTATCCTAAGAGAGATATTTATATTTTTAGATGGTGCGAAGATTCCTGCTCCTGCCCCACCGCTCATTTTCGAGCCATCTGTATATATTGAGATATCGTAATTTGCTTCGAAATTTTTCCTTTTCCACTCATTTCTTGAAGGGAATATTGTCTGGAAGTTCCTTTCGAAGTCTATACACGGATTCAGATAATCCGATGTCATCCTATACAGACAATTTGGCACTGTACCTAGAATCCGACTATGTCCATATGTTCGTTCTAACCATACGCCTGTTACTTTCAGTCTTACAGCGCTATTACAAACCATGTTTTTAATGTGAAGATCAATAGGTAGCAAATGCAGCATCACATTTAGGGCGTCCGAAGGAGTCGTCCTAAAAGCTCCTGTGATGCCTACACATGCCGTCCTCTGAATTCTGTTAAGTTTGTCGATAAATATATTTATTAAGCATAATATATTAAAACACTAATCATATTTAAATTAAATTTATATATAAAAATATACTTAAATCCTTGTAACGCAAAAACTTTTCATATTACAAGTGTTAAATACAGGATTCTTCTGCAACTGTTAACGCGATGGCCGCCAAGCACATAACCACACATAAACACATGACTTATTTTTCTCTGTTGACGTGAAAATAGAACTCGGGATCTTAAGATTTACTTTATTAGAAGAACAGCTCAGATAAGATCAAGAAGAGAATCGAATACTATTAAGGATGCCATTAAAAATGCTTAGCTATAGAAATACTACTTTTCCTTTTATTATGATAAATAAGTTACTTTTATATTTTATAGTTTAAATTCAGTTAAGCAACAAAAATGATTTTCGTAAAAATAAAAGAATTAAGGACCCAATGTGTCAACCCGCATAAAAATAAATTTTCGTAAAATATACATTTTTTTTAATCATAAAACATGTTTATTTCATATATCTTTCATATATTTTGTTATAAAAATAAAAACATATAATTTGTTCATTAGTTTTATCAGTACATAAAAACTGTTGGTATGGTTTTGTTGCATTTATATTTTATACATTTCCGATTTAAAAATGTTTGCTTATGTTACGTAGTTTTTTCACTTCCTCTTGGCAGGTTTTTATAAAAATTAGTTGTACAACCTTTGAATAGGTACTATTTATAGTGAAGCAATAATATAATAATAATTTGACTTAAAAATAATTAACGAGAAGGAGGCATTTATATAAATTAAACAAACAAACAAATAAATAAATAAGTTAATAAATAGATTTTACATTAACGTTAATTACGAATTAATATAAACTATAAAGAATAGTTTATAACTATTTTCAAAAAATATTCGTTCTTAAATTTAATTAATTGTTTTAAGTTTTATTTATTTTCATTTTAAATGTATTCTTTTTATGTGTGCCAGCATATTCGATTTTTTATTAAACAGTTTGCCACATTTTGTGCATAAATGTCTCATTTTTTTCTGATGTTCTTCTAAGTGTATTTTTAAATCCTCCAAACTTTTTCTTGCTCGTTTACATATAGGACAAAGCAGTTCCGGACTTGTTATATGTTGCTCTATATGATACTTTAGAAGAGTTGCTTGTCGAAATGTTTTATTACAAAATTTACATGAAAATTGTTTTTGATCTGAATGGGTTAATTCATGTACTTTTAATGTTTTACGTGCACTAAATGTTTTATCACATTGTGGGCATTTATAAGGACGCAGTCCTTGATGTATAGCCATAATATGATCATTTAAATTGTATATTCTCTTAAATATCTTTGCACATAGTTCGCATATGTAATCTTTTTCATTTGGTCGTTTTCTAGAATCTGCGTGAGTATGTATATTTTTTGTGTGTCGAATTAAACTATTATATAAACTGTATGAATTTTGACAATATTCACACATATACGGTTTATTTGCACTTTTATGTTCAAAATTTATATGTGCTTCATACTTTAAATTGCTTCGAAATATTTTAGCACATTCTTCGCATTTGAAGGATTTTTTAGTTTTTTGACTAGTCTTTTCCAGTCTCAATTTCTTGTCATTTTCATCACAAATATTGTTTTTGTGTACATTTTTGGTTAAACAATTTATATCAAGTGCATTTTTATGTTTATTTATTTGTTTAGTTAAGAATTTTTCATTCAGATGTTTTTTATCTAAACCTTTTTCAAGATTTTCGTAGTTTGTTTTGTCGTTTTGTTCAATAGATGCAACTGATAAATATTTTTCCACAGGCATAATTCCTTCGTCAGTGCAGTTACTATTTTCATTTTGGTAACTATCGACTTGGTTTGAATTAGATTCTTTACTTGGTAATGATGGTAATTGCTCCGCAAAAATTCCCAGAAACAGTTGTGAAACCTTTATTGAATTTGAAAATTAAAATCATTTTTAAATATTTATGTAAATGAACGCAATATACCTTTGATAAGTTTTTATCCCGATGTAATTTATTATTATCACTCGCAGTTTCCACAATGTTTTCTAGATAATTTAAAGACTCACATGCTATATTCTTAAACTCAGCAAAATTTTGCAATTTTGCTTTACAGCGCAAACAAATATTTTTTGGATATATACAACTATCATAATATGTTCCTTTTACAACTTTTTCCATTTTAATACCAACGCAGTCATCGATTGTATTAGGGTATACAGTTTCACCACTTCCAATTTTAGGCTTTTTAAATCTAAACTTTTTGAGACAAATTCTACAAAACAATTGTAAGTTATGAATCATTTTATCAGAAAGTCTTTCTGAAAGAATCTCTTTTAATACCATGCTGCTACATAAGGACCTTTGTTGAAATTCATAAAATATTTGCACTCTTACAGCACAGCTGTTACAGATCTTATTTGGATAAGCACTGTGTGTTTTAAAATTGCATATTTTCCGAAATATTCGCAGATGATTGGTTTCTTGATTGATATCTAATAAATCACATTTTCTTTTACTATCCTGCATACAAACATGACAAAATGTATCTAAAGTTGCGCTTGTAATAGGTAACATTTTAAAACTTAATAAAAATTCTTATGTATTGAATTGTTAAATATTGATGTTTACAATTTATGTGAGCTGTCAAAATTTAATTCACAATAACGAATGCACTGTGGGCTCATCAACAGCATTCAAATAAAAAAAATAATGCCATATGCATACTAAAACTTATGAAACCTCTTTTGCATATTTATATACATATATACATTGTATGAAAAATTATATAATATAATAATCAAAACATTTTATAAGAGTAAACGGGTTATATAAAATAGATTAAGCGAAAATGATAATATTGTTTTAGTTGTTACCTTTATTCGATGCAAAATAATTTTATATAGAAAAATTTGAAGGCTCAAGTAGGTATCTGAGCATGCAGTGTTCCCATTCAACAAAAAGTAAAAATCATTGATTATTGTGACTCACAAAATATATAAACGAACGAACTTTTGCAAGTACGATTACCTGCGAATATTCGTTCGTTCGCTTTGGTGAGGATGCACCTTAATAGTAACTAAATAGATCAGCTGAATTCATTTTTTTGAATTCTTAATTCAGATATCTATCTACCAAGTTTTAAGATTCGACTGCATAAACAATATAATGGTTTGTTTACAATTGAAATCATAATAAATGTTATTTATTATAATAAATATTATGATTCAAGCTGCAACCTAAACGCAATACATATAAAAGTATCACTAAATAAATGTGTAAAAATTTAAGTCTTCGTTTTTTCAATAATGCAAAAGCAATAATTTAAAAAAACATTCCAGTTGCGAACTATGACAAAAAAATTTTATACATTATAGCCTATTTACCCAGGTAAAGTATTTGTACTTTTGGCCATTTGGCTGGTTTTGGTAAAAACATACCAAATTATAATTTTATACAATATAAGAAAAAAATACAATAAAAGACTGACAGAACATGTTAACCCCTTAGCAGGGAATCCAAGCTTTATCTAATCTGATAAAGCTTGTCACATAATAAATCACCTAACACTCACTGCAATGAAATTTAACCCATTAATTTAAGTAAGGTCTGTGATATAAGGTTTTCTTATTTTATTTTATATTATACAATATATAGTTAAAATGAAAAATTGTAATATTATGTAATTAGTGATAAGATTTTAAAACTTATTATTAGTCTTATTATAAAAGAAGATGCGATAAATAAATTTATAATGGATGATATAGACTAGGGCTGTCCAAAGCATGGCCCGCTGCTAATGTTTGTGCGGCCCGCAATATTTTGATCTGCAATTATCCAAATTTTCTTTTGGTGTACTGGTAAAACTACATTATTTTATTTTATTTATTTTATAAATTAATTTAAATTGATGAATTAAAAAAAATATAAAATTAACATTATAACCATATTTTTATTTTTGCCGAAAACAATTATGAACGTATGTATTTGTTTCTGCGGCCCTCCAATCTGCATAGTGATTTGTATTGGCCCGCGATCTCATCTGATCTGGCCAGCCCTGATATAGCAGATGCTACATGTATGCACACCAAGTATTACGTGCTACCAAAAAGCACTGTGTATATTCAAGTAAGTACAAAAAAAAATATTTATTTTACATTAATATACATTAATATTTACGTTAATATATAAAACTTTTATATGAGTTTTTGTAGTGGCGTTTGTAAACGAAAATGCCAACCGTTGCAGCAATTATAACTTGAGTTGAATGACTTTTAACAAACTTCCTATACTACTTTAGACGAGTGTTTTACAGTTTGATTAATTCGATATTTTCATGTAACAACTCTGTTTTTTTTATGACATTTTGTTAGGCCAGTTTTATATATAAAGTTATGAGACAATCCATATTGATAAAAACAAACTATAAATCGTAATCTGAGGCATTAATACAAATCTAAAGTGTGAAATATGAGCATATTAAATAATAAAAATCTGCAAGAGCTTTGTAGGACTTGTTTGAGTAGCCTTGATTCTCAAATAACAGAGAAGAAAATTAGCTATAATGTTTACGTTGTACCCAACCTAAGCAAATTATTAATATTATTTACATCAGTTGACTTGAATAACGAGAATGAAGATTACCCGAATAGTCTTTGCCAGCTATGTTACGATAAACTATTAGATTTCCAGTCTTTTCGGGATTTAGCATTGAAATCAGCGGAGTTGCTCTATGGCTTTTTAAAAGAAACTTCTAAATGTGACTCACTATTTGAAAGAGAACCGAGTAAAACAAATCAGAAAAATGATAAATCTGAAAAGAAGTCTATAAAAATGGACCATGATAATTATGATAATCAATTAGTAAGTTTATATATGATATATATTTTCCTATAAATATTCAGTTTTATTGTATTGTCTTAAAGCTGCTTCCTGAATTGCTCATCAAATCCGAGCCAATTGATGAGGAGCTGCAACTAAGTGATTCCAGAAATGTCTCCGGAATTTATGATTCATTCGTTGAGAATTATAAAACAAAAATGGAAATTAATAATGTACCTGAAAATAATGGTTTCGATACCACATATGATTCTATCGTACATGTCAACAAAGATGAAGTACAAAACTGCAAATTAGATGTAAATGTATTAGGTAATAATATTCCAACCAATGAATGTAGCGTCGAAAGCTATAAAATTAAATCTGAAATTGATTCAGAATATGAAGAGGATATCACTTTTTATGAAAATAACGCACTGGGTACTTCGTATGATTCAATCGGTGATGACGCAGATGACGAAGAACATGCTCTTCGTAATGGAGATGCAAATTCCTCTAGTATTTTGTTGAATGCATCTTCATCACCAAATAAATATAACACATCTCACGAACGTAAGTATCATGTAGTATTTCATTACTCAATCAATCACGAAATCTTTTCTCTGTAAAAAATTAGCCGATGCACCTTCTTTGGAAGATAGTCTGCAAGAGGTTCTAGAAATGCATCAAGCACAATTAAACAAAGAAATTGAAACGGATCACATATGTAAAGAATGTTCCAGAAAATTTAGTTCAAAATGGGCACTTACGCAACATTTAAAACGGCATGCTCAAATAAAGGAACATATATGTAAAGTATGTGGTGTTGCCAAAGTTACTAGGAGTGAACTACAAACTCATATGCGTACTCATGAACCGAACTTGGAAAAATTTAAATGTACTATTTGTCCGAAGGAATTTAAACACAAAAATGCGATTTCGCGTCATGTTCGCGTTGTGCACGAAGGTCAGCGCAGGTTTCAATGTGGCTTCTGTTCGAAAAGGTTTGGAACTCGTCGATCACAAATTTATCATGAACGTCTTCATACGGGTGAAAAACCTTACATTTGTGATTTATGCAGTAAGTGTTTTGCTCAAATGGAAGGATTAAAATCACATATGAAAAATCATGATAAAAATCTACGAAAACATGTTTGCTCCTTTTGCTCACAACGTTTTATTACTCGACAAAAACTTTTCGACCATGAAAATCGTCATCGAGGTGATAAACCACACATTTGCAATATATGTAGTAAGGGTTTTAATAAGAGCGATGATTTATTTTTGCATCGAAATCTACATTCAACTGATGATAACACACCAAATATCGATATTGATGTCGTAGACAATAATCTAAATCAAAGTAATATGTTTCATAATGAAAGTTCACAAGATAGTGAAATCCAAAGCGAAGAGAAAGCATTAAAAGAAAGAAACGCGAAAAACGATAGCAAACATATAGAAACCGAGTATGATAGAAAATTTGTTAAAAATCAAAATCAGTTTTCCTACCAAAGAACAGTAAACAACTCAGAAATGAAGAATCGCTGTAATCTGTGACAAAATGAGCATTATAGTCATGAAAGCTCAAATTTTAAAAAATATTGATGGTTTCTGTTATATATGATGTTTGTTTATTTGTGCTTAAGTAATATATGAATATGCTTAAGTTTACTCTAACTCTTACTCTCTAATATAAGGTGAAAAATATTTATTATTAAATTTTCGTAATCCAAATTATTTTGTAATGCAATAAGAATAATCACAATGGAAAAAATGTGGATTTCAAACAAGGAAACGATTAAGCTTCGTTTATATCTTTTATTTAAAGTACGTTATGAATAAATACATAGAAACATAGAAGTATGTTATAAATAAATAAATGAAAGTAGAATTAAAAAAATATTACAATTAATGGGCCGATTTACACTATCATGAACGTAACATGAACATGAAATTGAAATCCGGTTACTTATAGATGAGAGAGGAAAGAGAGTGTAATGTGAGTTATTAAATGAAAGTTTGAAGTGTCCTCTTTCGATTAAGCTAATTTGCAGAAAAATGGTACCTCTGCTTTTAAAGATATACTTAATTTTGTAAAGTGACTTATTTTTGCAAAATTTTATTTTTCTTATTTTGAAGAAAATTTTTTTATATTATGTAAAAAGCGATTATATTGAGAAAAACAAACATATTTTTTATTGTTATATGCTTTTTAGTTCATAATTTTTGGTTAAGTAGCAAAGTTTTAATTAAATAATGTTTGAAAATGACATCTCTATCGTCATCGCAGCACTGCTCCTAAGTTAATCGAACAATCTATATGAGCCAAAAAAAGAAAAAAATGGTACCTCTAGTTTAAAAGTTATTAATAAATTAGTGACCCCATCTTTTGGGGCTGATTTTTATTTTTCATTTTTCATACAAATTACATCATTTACACATAAAAGTTGAATGTAGATAGTAAATTAATTCAATTTTCTACTTAATAATGCCTTTTGCTGCATTAAATTTAATAAAATAATAAATTTTTCCTTAATTAAAGTATACTGCATTTTTCATGCGGCGAAAAATGTTCCAATTCCATTTTGGACTTATCGTTGACGCTATCTTCACGCACATTTTACAGTTTGATTAATTCGATGTTTTCATGTAACAACTCTGTTTTTTTATGACATTTTGTTAGGCCAGTTTTATATTTAAAGTTATGAGACAATCCATATTGATAAAAACAAACTATAAATCGTAATCTGAGGCATTAATACAAATCTAAAGTGTGAAATATGAGCATATTAAATAATAAAAATCTGCAAGAGCTTTGTAGGACTTGTTTGAGTAGCCTTAATTCTCAAATAACAGAGAAGAAAATTAGCTATAATGTTTACGTTGTACCCAACCTAAGCAAATTATTAATATTATTTACATCAGTTGACTTGAATAACGAGAATGAAGATTACCCGAATAGTCTTTGCCAGCTATGTTACGATAAACTATTAGATTTCCAGTCTTTTCGGGATTTAGCATTGAAATCAGCGGAGTTGCTCTATGGCTTTTTAAAAGAAACTTCTAAATGTGACTCACTATTTGAAAGAGAACCGAGTAAAACAAATCAGAAAAATGATAAATCTGAAAAGAAGTCTATAAAAATGGACCATGATAATTATGATAATCAATTAGTAAGTTTATATATGATATATATTTTCCTATAAATATTCAGTTTTATTATATTGTCTTAAAGCTGCTTCCTGAATTGCTCATCAAATCCGAGCCAATTGATGAGGAGCTGCAACTAAGTGATTCCAGAAATGTCTCCGGAATTTATGATTCATTCGTTGAGAATTATAAAACAAAAATGGAAATTAATAATGTACCTGAAAATAATGGTTTCGATACCACATATGATTCTATCGTACATTTCAACAAAGATGAAGTACAAAACTGCAAATTAGATGTAAATGTTTTAGGTAATAATATTCCAACCAATGAATATAGCGTCGAAAACTATAAAATTAAATCTGAAATTGATTCAGAATATGAAGAGGATATCACTTTTTATGAAAATAACGCACTGGGTACTTCGTATGATTCAATCGGTGATGACGCAGATGACGAAGAACATGCTCTTCGTAATGGAGATGCAAATTCCTCTAGTATTTTGTTGAATGCATCTTCATCACCAAATAAATATAACACATCTCGCAAACGTGACCGAAATAAAAAATCGTTAAAATGTCCAAGATGTGATAAGCAAGTTTACAAACAGGTATATCTAGATGCACACATACGCGGTGTACATGAAGGTCATGAAAAACCATTCTTGTGTTCAGAGTGCCAAAAAGCCTTTACGCGTTATAATCAATTGCATATACATATTCAGTCGAATCATATACTGCAACAAAAATTCATATGTGGATTTGATGGTTGTGAAGCTACATTTAAAATGATTACCACTTTGGAAACTCATAAAAAAGTTGTCCATCTACGTAAGTACCATGTAGTATTTCATTACTCAATCAATCACGAAATCTTTTCTCTGTAAAAAATTAGCCGATGCACCTTCTTTGGAAGATAGTCTGCAAGAGGTTCTAGAAATGCATCAAGCACAATTAAACAAAGAAATTGAAATGGATCACATATGTAAAGAATGTTTCAGAAAATATAGTTCGAAACGGGCACTTACGCAGCATTTAAAACGGCATGCTCAAATAAAGGAACATATATGTAAAGTATGTGGTGTTGCCAAAGTTACTAGGACTGAACTACAAACTCATATGCGTACTCATGAACCGAACTTGGAAAAATTTAAATGTACTATTTGTCCGCAAGAATTTAATCACAAAAATGCGATTTCGCGTCATGTTCGCGTTGTGCACGAAGGTCAGCGCAGGTTTCAATGTGGCTTCTGTTCGAAAAGGTTTGGAACTCGTCGATCACAAATTTGTCATGAACGTCTTCACACGGGTGAAAAACCTTACATTTGTGATTTATGCAGTAAGTGTTTTGCTCAAATGGAAGGATTAAAATCACATATGAAAAATCATGATAAAAATCTACGAAAACATGTTTGCTCCTTTTGCTCACAACGTTTTATTACTCGACAAAATCTTTTCGACCATGAAAATCGTCATCGAGGTGATAAACCACACATTTGCAATATATGTAGTAAGGGTTTTTATAAGAGCGATGATTTATTTTTGCATCGAAATCTACATTCAACTGATGATAACACACCAAATATCGATATTGATGTCGTAGACAATAATCTAAATCAAAGTAATATGTTTCATAATGAAAGTTCACAAGATAGTGAAATCCAAAGCGAAGAGGAATCATTAAAAGAAAGAAACGCGAAAAACGATAACGAACATATAGAAACCGAGTATGATAGAAAATTTGTTAAAAATCAAAATCAGTTTTCCTACCAAAGAACAGTAAACAACTCAGAAATGAAGAATCGCTGTAATCTGTGACAAAATGAGCATTATAGTCATGAAAGCTCAAATTTTAAAAAATATTGATGGTTTCTGTTATATATGATGTTTGTTTATTTGTGCTTAAGTAATATATGAATATGCTTAAGTTTACTCTAACTCTTACTCTCTAATATAAGGTGAAAAATATTTATTATTAAATTTTCGTAATCCAAATTATTTTGTAATGCAATAAGAATAATCACAATGGAAAAAATGTGGATTTCAAACAAGGAAACGATTAAGCTTCGTTTATATCTTTTATTTAAAGTACGTTATGAATAAATACATAGAAACATAGAAGTATGTTATAAATAAATAAATGAAAGTAGAATTAAAAAAATATTACAATTAATGGGCCGATTTACACTATCATGAACGTAACATGAACATGAAATTGAAATCCGGTTACTTATAGATGAGAGAGGAAAGAGAGTGTAATGTGAGTTATTAAATGAAAGTTTGAAGTGTCCTCTTTCGATTAAGCTAATTTGCAGAAAAATGGTACCTCTGCTTTTAAAGATATACTTAATTTTGTAAAGTGACTTATTTTTGCAAAATTTTATTTTTCTTATTTTGAAGAAAATTTTTTTATATTATGTAAAAAGCGATTATATTGAGAAAAACAAACATATTTTTTATTGTTATATGCTTTTTAGTTCATAATTTTTGGTTAAGTAGCAAAGTTTTAATTAAATAATGTTTGAAAATGACATCTCTATCGTCATCGCAGCACTGCTCCTAAGTTAATCGAACAATCTATATGAGCCAAAAAAAGAAAAAAATGGTACCTCTAGTTTAAAAGTTATTAATAAATTAGTGACCCCATCTTTTGGGGCTGATTTTTATTTTTCATTTTTCATACAAATTACATCATTTACACATAAAAGTTGAATGTAGATAGTAAATTAATTCAATTTTCTACTTAATAATGCCTTTTGCTGCATTAAATTTAATAAAATAATAAATTTTTCCTTAATTAAAGTATACTGCATTTTTCATGCGGCGAAAAATGTTCCAATTCCATTTTGGACTTATCGTTGACGCTATCTTCACGCACATTTTACAGTTTGATTAATTCGATGTTTTCATGTAACAACTCTGTTTTTTCATGACATTTTGTTAGGCCAGTTTTATATATAAAGTTATGAGACAATCCATATTGATAAAAACAAACTATAAATCGTAATCTGAGGCATTAATACAAAGCTAAAGTGTGAAATATGAGCATATTAAATAATAAAAATCTGCAAGAGCTTTGTAGGACTTGTTTGAGTAGCCTTGATTCTCAAATAACAGAGGAGAAAATTAGCTATAATGTTTACGTTGTACCCAACCTAAGCAAATTGTTAATATTATTTACATCAGTTGACGTGAATAACGAGAATGAAGAATACCCGAATAGTCTTTGCCAGCTATGTTACGATAAACTATTAGATTTCCAGTCTTTTCGGGATTTAGCATTGAAATCAGCGGAGTTGCTCTATGGCTTTTTAAAAGAAACTTCTAAATGTGACTCACTATTTGAAAGAGAACCGAGTAAAACAAATCAGAAAAATGATAAATCTGAAAAGAAGTCTATAAAAATGGACCATGATAATTATGATAATCAATTAGTAAGTTTATATATGATATATATTTTCCTATAAATATTCAGTTTTATTATATTGTCTTAAAGCTGCTTCCTGAATTGCTCATCAAATCCGAGCCAATTGATGAGGAGCTGCAACTAAGTGATTCCAGAAATGTCTCCGGAATTTATGATTCATTCGTTGAGAATTATAAAACAAAAATGGAAATTAATAATGTACCTGAAAATAATGGTTTCGATACCACATATGATTCTATCGTACATTTCAACAAAGATGAAGTACAAAACTGCAAATTAGATGTAAATGTTTTAGGTAATAATATTCCAACCAATGAATATAGCGTCGAAAACTATAAAATTAAATCTGAAATTGATTCAGAATATGAAGAGGATATCACTTTTTATGAAAATAACGCACTGGGTACTTCGTATGATTCAATCGGTGATGACGCAGATGACGAAGAACATGCTCTTCGTAATGGAGATGCAAATTCCTCTAGTATTTTGTTGAATGCATCTTCATCACCAAATAAATATAACACATCTCGCAAACGTGACCGAAATAAAAAATCGTTAAAATGTCCAAGATGTGATAAGCAAGTTTACAAACAGGTATATCTAGATGCACACATACGCGGTGTACATGAAGGTCATGAAAAACCATTCTTGTGTTCAGAGTGCCAAAAAGCCTTTACGCGTTATAATCAATTGCATATACATATTCAGTCGAATCATATACTGCAACAAAAATTCATATGTGGATTTGATGGTTGTGAAGCTACATTTAAAATGATTACCACTTTGGAAACTCATAAAAAAGTTGTCCATCTACGTAAGTACCATGTAGTATTTCATTACTCAATCAATCACGAAATCTTTTCTCTGTAAAAAATTAGCCGATGCACCTTCTTTGGAAGATAGTCTGCAAGAGGTTCTAGAAATGCATCAAGCACAATTAAACAAAGAAATTGAAATGGATCACATATGTAAAGAATGTTTCAGAAAATATAGTTCGAAACGGGCACTTACGCAGCATTTAAAACGGCATGCTCAAATAAAGGAACATATATGTAAAGTATGTGGTGTTGCCAAAGTTACTAGGACTGAACTACAAACTCATATGCGTACTCATGAACCGAACTTGGAAAAATTTAAATGTACTATTTGTCCGCAAGAATTTAATCACAAAAATGCGATTTCGCGTCATGTTCGCGTTGTGCACGAAGGTCAGCGCAGGTTTCAATGTGGCTTCTGTTCGAAAAGGTTTGGAACTCGTCGATCACAAATTTGTCATGAACGTCTTCACACGGGTGAAAAACCTTACATTTGTGATTTATGCAGTAAGTGTTTTGCTCAAATGGAAGGATTAAAATCACATATGAAAAATCATGATAAAAATCTACGAAAACATGTTTGCTCCTTTTGCTCACAACGTTTTATTACTCGACAAAATCTTTTCGACCATGAAAATCGTCATCGAGGTGATAAACCACACATTTGCAATATATGTAGTAAGGGTTTTTATAAGAGCGATGATTTATTTTTGCATCGAAATCTACATTCAACTGATGATAACACACCAAATATCGATATTGATGTCGTAGACAATAATCTAAATCAAAGTAATATGTTTCATAATGAAAGTTCACAAGATAGTGAAATCCAAAGCGAAGAGGAATCATTAAAAGAAAGAAACGCGAAAAACGATAACGAACATATAGAAACTGAGTATGATAGAAAATTTGTTAAAAATCAAAATCAATTTTCCTACCAAAGAACAATAAACAACGATGCAACTCAGAAATGAAGAATCGCTGTAATCTGGTGACAAAATGAGCATTATAGTCATGAAAGCTCATTGAGCTGTTATAAGTTTAAAAAAATATTTTATATATGTTGCATTTACATCAGTCTGACTGATGTAGTCTAACCGTTTTTTAGACAGATTGTTAAATTAAATTTGTGTAATAAAAGTTGAAATTTTAAAAGATATTGATGGTTTCTGTTATATATGATGTTTGTTTCTTTGTGCTTAAGTAATATATGAATATGCTTAAGTTTACTCTAACGCTTGTTTAATAAGTTAATGAAATATTCATCAAAATTAATAAAATATTCATATTATTAAATTTTCGTAATCCAAATTATTTTGTAATGCAATAAAAATAATCACAATGGAAAAAATGTAAATTTCAAACAAGAAAACGAAGCTTAAATTTATATCGTTTATTAAAAGTACGTTTTGAATAAATACATAGAAACATAGAAATATGCTATAAATAAATAAATGGAAGTAGAATTAAAAAGATATCACAATCAACGTATGCTAGAGAGGTCTTGTTATTATTAAAAACAAAAATAAAAAAGAAAGTTCCAGTGACAGCAGTTCTAGAATGTGAAATCCTCATTTCAGCAATATTTATTATCTTTATAACTGATATAGAACTTGAATTTATAAACGACAACTTCGAAGAAGTTAATATAGATGAAATTTATTTATTGGTAAAGTGCTGGTTAATCTGAAGCTTATCTTTAATACCATTTTAACAGGATTAATCAGTCTACATTAAATATTTCAATAGAGATAAGAGTTCAAGACCTTTCTTTTCTTTTCTTTTCTTTTCTTTTCCTTTCTGAAAGAGGATACTACGATTTTAACTATGAGTCCCGTCTGAAAGTAGAACCTTCATACGAAAAGATTTTGTGGTATTATTTGTAAAAACTGAATGTGTAATATTTGAAGATAGTCAATACTACTAAAAACGATTTTCTATGGTCACAACGCTCTATTCCAGAAATGGATGTTGGAATCGCAGTAGATAAAAAATTCTTTATATTTACTAATGAATTTAATAATATATTATATTAATAATTATTTTGATAATTTGTCGTGATTGTAATTCTGAAGAGAACTACACTACTTCAACTTAACCTAGTCTTTTAATAAAATAATTCTTCAAAAAATTACACAGTTTTAATAAAGATTAAACAAATTTTTATTATATTATATACAAATTTTTTATTATATATATTATAGGATATATATATCCTGCAGTTTAAATTTGTTTACATTCTTTGTAGTGGCAAGGCTCTTGACAGTAGTGGTTTATGTTTTTCATTTAAAAATTTGCAATCGAACTATATCAATATTTGCACAACGTAGTGAAAAATCTTGTTTAGTATGACAAGGCTTATAAATTTCAGCGTCTAGGAAATAGTAATCATGCCTGCTAGTCACCAAAATCTAATAATTTTTGTTTTGGCAGGTCTAGAGTAAATTAAGAGTAAATCTAGATTTACCAATAGGAATTTAATTATACAATAACAATAATAACATTTATTATTTTGAATAGCAAGTTTTATTGTGAATTTTTCAGTTTTTGACAACCTGTATAAATAGTAAACAAAGTATACCTTGGCACTTTAACAAACAGTGAAAATTATAAGTTAATGGATTCTCAAGATGTTGCCTATAACTTGTGCAACAATAAACTCCTTTTGCCATGTTTGCATGCTGGATCATGGAAACTCTAGGCAAAATATATATGAAATAAAATCGGAGCAAAATCTACCACAGCTTTTTAAGACAGTTTGTGATATAAATGAACATAACTTTGGAGTCTCCCCAACCCATCTATGCCGTGGATGCTATGTAAAAGTTCACATTTTTAACGAATTTCGGCAAAAATCGATTTGCAGTTCAATGGTGTTGAATGAATTGTTGTCAGAAAATCTTTCAGTTAACATGGTGCGTAACTTAAAATTGTTTTGTCGGACGTGTCTGAAAAAGGTCAAAACAATTGCGAATTTGCCTAATATAGACAATAATATTGATATCCGTAACTGGATGCTGAATTGTACAGGCATTAAACTTGATGAAGTGATGACGGGAGAATACAACGATCAGCAAATATTTCCAAGTAATATGTGTATCCGCTGTTTTACAAAATTGCGTAATTTTATTGAGTTCAGAAGAGTTGCAAAGCAGTCGTTTGAATATCTTAAAAGTGTATTAGGAAAAGATGAAGATGATTTAGCTAATGATGTTAAAACCGAAGTACCAAAATCTGATATCAAAACGGAGCAAGAGGTTTGTAATACCAAATCTTCAACGAACTCTAAGTTACAAATAAAGTTTGTGTTTATAGTTCATTTTTGCAGAACAACTGCCAGTCATACCGGATGAAAAGACTACTGATAGTGAAAGTGAATACGACCATGCAAATGATGATAACATGTACAATGAAAACAATGACAGTAATGATGCAACAAATTCCGCTTTTAACTATTTAACTGTACTTATTAATGAAACCAACGATAGAGAAACAAAAAAATGGGCATCGGAATCAGAAGAAGAGGCTGCCATTAATATAGAATGCAAAACGTCTCCATCGGATTTAGAAGAGGAATTACCTTATAAAGGCAGACCGAAAAGAAAATGTCGAATGGATACATTTATACCAGAACTTACAACAGACGAAGTAAGGAAACGAAAAGTTAAATGTGCAAAAGAAAAAAAGGAACGTAAACGTAAAGAATCAAAAATTAACCAAAATTTAACCAAAGATGAAATTGAGGAAAATAACATTTTAGATGAGAAAGATAGTGAATTAATACAAGATGGTATGCGAAAAAAGAAGACATTTAAATGCGAAAAATGTGAGAAAATTTTTCGTAATAAAGAAAAATATGAGGCACATATTAATTTTGAACATAAAGATGTCGAAAAACCATATCCATGTGAGTTTTGTGAAAATTCCTATCGATTGTACAGCAGTTTAAGACGACATACCCTTAAGGTACATATAAATTCAAATCTTTCAAAATCTTCAGAAGATGAAAAATTATTTATGTGTGAAATATGTTGTAAAGCTTTTAAACGTACAGATCACTTAAGAGATCATATTAATGCAGTTCATTACGGATTGCGACCATTTAAATGTAAATACTGTGATAAATCATTTGCAGCACGTAAAACTTGCCGAGTACATGAAATGAGCCATACTGGTGATCGCCCATTTTCTTGTGATTTATGCGATAGAAGCTTCCGCCAAAAAACATTATTAAAAATACATATGGAAATACATACTACAAGTACAGATCTACTCTGCCCTATATGTAAACGTGCTAGACCAAGTGTAGAGGAGCTTAGGGAGCATGTAATACAACATGAAATGACAATGCAACATCAATGCTCAAAATGTGGTAAAATTTTTAGGAAAAAGTCAAATATGTATGCACACGACAAAAGAATGCATTCAAGAGTAGATTAAACATAAAAAATTTTCTGTTAAGAAATAAAAAATATAGCCTGTAAATTTAATTATTAAGTATTTTGATTTTATATAACACAAGAAGTTTGGATAAATATCTACGTAATTGCGATTTCAAATTATACATGCTCTGTTTTTGAGTAATGAAATGGTTTCACAGTTAAAATCGTTGACAATAAATTTATCTTTATAGTATAAAAGATATTAGTCGATGAATAGGAGAGATTTGTGAATTACGAAAAATACACATATGTAGCATTATATTTGGGTAATAAAATGGTACTCCTGTAAAAATAATTGCCGACGTAATTCAAGAAATGAAGCGCGTGCCTAAAGTCCTTAACACAAATTAATAGTTCAAAAAATTAATAGTACAAACAACTCTTACACTCTGCTTTTTATTTTAAAACATAGAGATGTAGTTGAGCTTTTTGTTTTTGTACACACAAAAAAAAAATCAAACGTAACTCTTTACGTGGGACCAACCTTTAAATACATTTTGTATGCAATAACAAAAGCACCTACCTTACATACAAAATTCACATTATTTTTTTGTTTATAAAAATATTCGACAGGATTTTTATATTTTTAAGGCAGAAATAATAGTTATTTGTGTATTTTAAAATAAAAAACAGAGTGTAAGAGTTATTTGTGAGTGAAAAAATAAAAGGCACATGATAATAATTATTTTGGATAAATATAATATAAAGCCAATTTAATTAATATTAAATTAATGATAACAGTTAGGTGATTTTTCTTTAATGATAACTATTACAGTCCCTGATATAGACATTGAAGAGAGACAGACGGTGATGGCACACTACCCTTATTTTCATTTCTTGGCGTTCCACAATTGTCTACTGATATTATTGGAAGAATTACTCTCCACTTATAGTTACAGAATCATCTCATCGAGCTCACTTATGGAAGACTGTATCCAACGCCATTTCGAAATCATAACCCGCATTGGGTTATTATTATATAGCATTGCAAACTTTCTTAATTAATTTGTTTAACTTAATCAAATCTTAGTTTATTATCGGCTGTTAAGTACTCACCCAAATGTATCTTCTGTGTGGTAGATAGTACGTTGATAGACCATGTGTTTTGCAATTTCCTCCATTATAATTATTGTGCAACAAACTAGACAAGTCAGTCTTTAAATGAACACGAACAGTTTTGATGGTTTTGTTTTTATGCTCCCTTCTTCGTCTCTGTAATACCTAAATCTTAATTAGTCCTATTAGTTTATAAGATGACTTTTGGTATAACAGTTCTAGTATCATTAATAATTCTTCCGCTTTTTGTACGTATCCAGTAATATGAAAAATTCTTCCAAAGCTTGCTGCAGATGATATTTCTTATTAATTTCTGCTTTTTCAACAAAAACCATGGGATACTGCTGAAATTTATACTTTATTATTGCAGCGTAATATAAAGTTTACATAAAAACTATAAAAGCATTCACGATCTTGAACAGTGGGTAATCAAGTAGCATAATACGTAACCACCAACAACAAAATACCTTTATTCGAAATGTGTTTTGTTGTCGATTTGCACTGTTACCGAATTACCGCACTTGTTACTCATGATCGTGAATACCCATTACGTCAATATTATATTTTATAATTTTTTATGTGTAATATGTGTAACATTATAATTTATTAGTAATAAAAGAATATATATTTAAATTTGCGTCAACTACAACTTTATTTAAAATAAAATATATGTTTTTTTTAATTACAATCAAAGATTACCCTTTTCGTGATTTTAAAAATATTTGTATACATAAAAATTTTTTTAATTTTGTAAATAACACTTGTTTCAACATTACATAGAAGTTTAAAATGATATAAAAATTATTAAATGAACGATTTTGTTTAATAATTATACTTTTAAGATTTCGATATATTTAACAGAAAAATCACATTTATTACTTTTAAATTAAATTAATTAGTCAGGGTTTAATTAGTAGCTTGACATTTACAATATAACAATAATATATATAATTATAAAACAAAAAAATAAATGGAGCCAGCATTATTTATTATATAAAATATATTAAAATATAGTCACTACATTAATTAAGTTTCGATGAAAAATAGTTATTTAATTTTTTTTAGACAATTGCTTAAATCAAATATATAAGCTTTTTACATATGTCATATACATGGAAAGTATAGGATTTTAAAACGTTTTTTTTTCAACAATTAATAGTAGTAAAAGATTGGAGTTCTTATAAGTGACGTCTGTTTTAAATATTGGCGCATTTTGGTTTTTATATCTTGATTAGGTTGTAGTGGCAGCTACGTGCTCCAAAGCTTATTTGAAAACACAAAACAAGATCTGTTGTGATACTATGGATAAAACACTGTCAGTATGGCAGACCTATAGGACCGCCTTAAAGGTAGTAACTCGAAGTATTTAGCACACGAATAGTGTTCTTTAAATAGCGATTGATATTAAAAAATATATATATTCTTTTTCTAAATTTTTTTATTTCTTGCGTCATATAATTACCTTGTGATATTATGGTAAGCAGAAATATTTTGAATAAATATTAACATTTGTAGGATTAATTTAGTGTCATTTCTGTATATAGTAAATATCTTAAATTATAAAATAAGTTTTTGTGAACTGTAAATATTTATGTATACATGAAACGTAAATCAATGAGTAGTTAATGATTAATGGCAGTGAGATGTAAAAACTTTATGCTTATGTATAAGTCCAAAAGTGTTATATACTTAGGACGTGTGCGAGTAAAGCTAAGCTGATGCTAAACTAAATGGAAAATTTTTTGGGATTTTTCGGACGGCACACATTTAGCCATTTATCAACACGTATCGACACAACTTAGAATTTCCGTCATTTAGAACGCAACTTAGCCTAACTCGCACACGTCCTTAGTATACAAAAGACTTAGAATAAACAAATTAAATCGTTTTTTTTTTTGTTATTATATGTAATATTTAGTTACATTAGTTATTTAAATAACAAAAATTTATCAGAAAAATAACCAGTCTTTTATTTTTTGTTTAATTGCCAAGCGTTCACAAATATTTATTATTGTCTTTTCAGATAAAGATTTTAAATTTGCATTAATTAGTTGTAGTGTTTAAGAACTTAACATTATTGAAATAAATATTACATATAAAACAATTATGTTATAAGTATGTTGAGCCTTTTCCGAGTTAGTGCATCTGAGCAGAGTCCCACCCATCTCACTGACTAATTTGTGTATTCCTCATAAGCTTCGTGATTATTTAATGACTGATCTAAAATCTGCGTACCCGCCCTGTGCGATTAGTGTTTTCTCTGAGATTAGATAGTGCTAAGTAGGGCAGCCTGTCGGTTTTCGCATATAGCGGCGTCAGGGCTTTATTATTATGTATTATGTTATGTGAACACAATTTAAATAAAGAAAACTAATTGCATTAGAAGTTATTAGACTTAATAATTTTTTATAGTTTTAATTTTCAATCACTAGCAGAATATGTGACATACCTCACCACTAAAATTTTTTCATTCTTACAATATTTTCGTACAAAGATATCCTAATTAGATACATTAGCTCATTTGTAATTTATTTTGTGCTTATATGATTTGTTTTTTTTTTTTTCAATTGTACATTTACATATATTGAATAACCCCAAAGAAACTGTATGATTCAAAATTAAAATAAGATGTTAGAAAGATTCTACTGATTACTACATTCTGCGTGTTATCGAGGATTAATCAAAATTTATATTTACCTATTATAATAGAAAATATGTTAAAAAATATTATTCTTGACAATTATTAAATATCATTTTTAATAAAACTGAGGTATTTAATAAGAAAAAAATATATTCTACATGAAGGCATTGTTTTTTGCCTACTAGTGTTAAGTAATATGAAATGTAGGCTTATTATAAGAGTATTTTAACTGAACGATATACAGAGCAGCAGTACTGATAGAATAGATCTTACCAATCGTTAGAGTAAAAACATTAAATATAATTTTTAAATATAAAAAAAATTTTAATTATTATTCTAATAATTTAATCAATTCAAATTTGGTTTTATAGTTTTAATAACATTTAAAAATAAAAAGTATTCTGTACAATTTTTAATATAATTCCTAAGATTTTTTTAACGTAAAATAACAATATCATATATATTTTATTTATTCACTAACATCTATACTATATATAAATATTATTGTTAACATTGACTTCCCCTTTAATTAAGGCCACATATGTATTAAAACTAAGTTACTTTACTTATTGTTCGAATAATTAAAAAACGTCTTACAAAAACGCTATGCACATAAATTGAGATATAAAATATTATAATGGAAAGTACTTCTTTTCATAAATGAGTTTTACAACTTTTATAATAATAAAAATATAATGAATTAATTGACTATAATTAAAAAATAACCTAAATATACATAAATAACATAAATTAAGAATAGATGAGAAATACAATGAAATTTCTATTGCGTTTATTCTTATTTCATAAGATTTTTTTGTGTTGGCAGTCTGTGTTATAATTCTCATCCACTGAGTTACATTTTTTAGATGATTTACGAGAACGCTTTGGCGATCCTTGATGTTCCTTTAAATGTTGTAGCAATGAACGTTTCTGTGTAAGCCTTTTATCATAATCTGAACAATGATTAAACTCATCATTGCTATGTTTTCGCATTTTATGAAAGTTCATATCAATATATTGATTAAAATCCATGTCGCAATGTGAACACTTAAATCTTGCTGCAATATGCTTTATTTTCCCTTTTGATAAAGTACGTTTTCTAACTTTATTAGCAATTTCAGTTGATGAATTTTTTGTTACATAATTATTTTTTGGCATTTTTTGTTTGATTGGCTTTTGAGAAATCATTTGTGCGTTCGGCTGTTCAACTTTATTTTGTCCTTGTCCTTTAAGTTGTTTTAATTTCAACTTGGTAGTTTTGGTTTGTGTTTTCTCTTTATGACAGTTCATATGAAGCTTATGATTCAAATAACCACCGCTGATAGTTTTACAAGTTTTGCATTCAAAAAAATATTTGTTTTTAAAATTAACAAATTGATATACATTAGCCGAATTGTAAGCGTTTGCTTCTCGTCGTGCCGAATTTTTAACTAATTTTAGATGTGCTTGATATTCATCTGAAGTGTGTTGTTTAAGTATGTGTTTGCACAGGCTTAAATAATTTTTATTAGTTCGTTCTTTGCAGATTGGGCACTTAATTTGTCGCATCATGGGATCTTTTAGTGATTTTGATTCGGATGGATGTTCTCGTAGGATATGACTTAAATGCTCTTGGAAGACAGTTTCTATACGACCACATAGTTGGCATTCATAATACATTGTTTTACGATCGTACAGTAGTCTTATAGTCATTGCACTATCTCTCGGACCGCGTGACTTTTCAACAAGCATTTCACCGTCATATAAACGATGTTTCCGCCGCATGTGTTGGACAAGATTAATGCTGGATGTGTAATTTTTTTCACACTCTGGGCATTTGAATGAGCAAGGCGTGCTGTTGTGTATTCTTAGGCTTTTCAAATCAGGCACAATCTTTTCACATGTATCACATTTTGGTGTATGTGTGCATTTCGCTTTATTTGGAGATTTTTTTTTATAGTATTTATTTTTTGCTACATGATCAATCAATGATTCTTTTATTTTTCTGGGTAATTTTTCCGGTGACGAAGTTACCTTTTCTGTAGAAGCCTCTGAACTTTTACATGTCATGGACATGTCTTCCTGATCAAAACCATTATCCATATTATGCAAAACATTTGTTTCAGCTTTGCAAGTTTTATCATCTTGTTCTGAATCACTTGATATTAATATAACATTTTCATTAGGTAAATTTTCAATAATTTTCGCTTTGTATTTCTTATCCTTTTTTTCATCTTTTTCGTAATTACAATTTTTAAACATACTTGAATTGCCTGAATCTGTTGAACTTAAAGTACTATTTGAGCCACTTACCAAACAACAAGAGGGTGTACTTTCGCGCGATGATTGAATTTCAATAACTTCTCCATCACTTCCAAGAGAGCTTCGAGTTAAGTTATTTTCAAATTCAGATTTATTTTTTATACATCCGTTTTTTTTGGATTTTAATTTTTTATCAAATTCATTGAACATATTACTAAGCAAAGCATCGTCATCTTCTACAATTATTTCACCGTTTAGACTAAATAAATCTTCATCATCGAAATGAATTAAATGAACTTCACATGTTTTGCAAATATTGCCTTTTGTAATTGGATGTATCTGAATAAAATTAATATAAATGTAATAATATTTATACGAAAAATAAAATCTTGCAGAAAATTTTACCGTATCTTTCTTGCTTTTTTCCCGCCTCAATGTTTTTCGTATTTCTTGTGGTGTGTACTTAAGATTACTTTTAACACCACAAATACGACAAATGTCCATTGTAAAACAGAAAGAAAAAAAATTAACTAACCAACATATACAAATTAAAAATAATGAAATAAAAATTAAGCGCGCATTCCACACACTCACTGTTTATCAACCACTAATGACGTTAAACGCGCCGAAAATGTTGACTGATCTTAATATCGATAGTTCACAATAGTAACATTAATTTAATATATATTTTTGATTATAAATACGTAAGACAAATGCATTTTATAAAATAATTAGTAGTTTTCAAATCACAATTACAAAATAAATACTATTTTATTTATTTTATTTATATATTCTATATCATATTTAATATATTATAAGTGTAAAAAACTATTGAGAACAGTCCTCACAGCATAAAAAAGCAAACAGAAAAGACAAATAAGCCTCTTCGAAGAGGTTATGTACAATTGAATCTTTCAAAAGCCGCAATCGTATTTTGTTTTTATGCATTTAAGGTTTAACAATGTCGAACTATAATTTAAGCTATCGAGAAGTTGTACCAGATAACTTAAATCAAGAAGAATGGATTGAAATAACGTTGAATACAGGTAAGTTAAATAATGTAATATCTTTATTAAATATTTCTTTATTCTAAAATATTAAATCTCATAGGAGGGACTCAAAGCACTCTACAAGATATAAAAGTATCCGACAAAGCTGGCGGGTATTGCTTTAAAAATGTGGCACTAAATCATAATAGAAATCGTTACATATACTGGTAAGCTGAAATCACTGTATAACTTTGAAAGATACTATAAAATATATGTTTGCAGGCGTACTTATCAGGATGTATTAGAATTATCAGAAGTCGGTTTAGATTTTAATTTATATCAAAATAATTTACGTTATAAATTTACTGATTCACCAGTGATTGCAGTGTCAATAACAGAGACTGATCGTTTTGTAACTTTGCTTGTTACTACAGTCAGCAGTTTACATCGCATTAATTTTCCCCATCCCGATACATTAGCTGATGGCAGTAGCATAGGTTCATCAAGTAGTGGGTCAGTGAGTACAAGTGGTACTAGCGTTGGTGCCTCTGTTGATTTTAATGATTCACAATCATTTTCAATATTTCGAGATGCTAATTCTTCTGTCATACGTAACTTATCCACGTGTTATGTATTAGACGCACAAACTACTTCGCGTAAGTTTCAAAAGTTTCAATTCAAACACATGATTTTCTTTAATTTTAAATGTTTTTGCAGAAAATGCAGTACCACATGCAGCAAATAGTTTTCTATCTCCCAACGGTGATCAGGCTTACTTTGCCTTAGCCTGTCAAACACAAGTAATGTTTTACATTATGAATGCCACTAACGGTGAAACTACAGTACACCAGTTAAGGCAACATAATATCATGCCACGATTATTTTCTAATATAAAAGGTGCTCTAATGTGAGTTAATTTTAGTTTTTCTTTTAATGAGCCTTTGATACATGTATTTTTTTTTTGTAGTGGCCGCAATGATTCAACTGATGCTGAATATGCTACTTCTTTTGTTTTTATTTGCGTTAATAATGAAATTTATTTAGTAACTTTATATAGAAACGACAATATACGTGTTTGGTCAACAAGTACTTTACAAATTGTCTGCTCTATAAGTTGTTTGCGTGAAAGCAATGAGCAGCGTATACAAGGGCGTAAGTGTATTAATTATGAAATGAACTAAGTCAAGTTAAATTCAAATTAAATTTAAATTTTTTAGCTCAAAGTAATTTACTTAGAAAAATCAGTGATTCAAGTGTTTGTGCCTTCCTTTCTCATGCTAGCGGCTCTGAGTTTGTTTGCATTGATATAAACACAGATGTTGGTAATTCATCTGGTTTAAGTTTAGTACGTCGCAGAGTTATATCTGCTCCTCAACTTGATTTAACGGATTTTGATATAACAGATTTGAATATTTGGGCACTATGGAGCAATGCAGAGGGAGAATTTAGTGTATCAAATTTTTGTTTAGAACGTGGATCAAGTTTAAATTGGATATCAGCGGCAATGGAACCACCTCCAGATCGATATTGTGTCGGTATAGAGCAAGGCATTAATCCAAGAGAAGCTTATTGCTCATACATATTCCATCCAGGCAAATTTGAACAAAATGTTTTATCGAAAGCATTATCTGTAAGAAAAAGAATAAGATTTACTTGTATTTTAATGCTAAAAAATAATTTTTTCGTTTAGATGTTCCGACGGTCAAATGTACTCATTGAAACTTCCAATATGTCTGTACTAAAAGATCATGTTTGTCATGCAATTGAAGAAGAAATTCAAAATGAAATTAAAGACTTTGATATTAGCGATGAAGAATATATAGAAGTTGCATTACGTTTCTGGGAACGTTTCTACTCCTGTTGTGAACAATATCACATGAAAGCATGTCAACCAGTTGGTTTAGCAATTTTGGAATCAATTGATGCCATTGCTGTCGTAAAGAAGAGTACTTTTTCAATGTTGCGTCCTTGTGAGACACTTGAGCATTTAATGTTAACTGGTGAAGAAGTAGATATTCAACGAGTTTTAAATTTGCATTTTAAGGGCAGAGAAAAAGATGGTACTGATTTGATTAATTTGGTTACAATTATTGCACGAATTGAGAAATGGCTGTCAGAAGATGTTAAAATTGAATTAGATAAAAAACTTTATCAATTAGAAATGCCGAATATTGTTATTTCAAAACTGGCAGATGAAATTCTTGCTGGAGATCCAGCTAAGCAAATATTACCAAGAAATTTTCTTGTCGTATTACGTCAAAAATTACAAAATATAAATGATATACGTGCTGCAATGGTTTTGTTATTAGAAAGTTTAAGAATGGATAATGGAAATCCAGAAGCAATGCAGACTCATTTAAGTAATGCAAAAACAAAATTATAATTATAATTATTATATTAATTATATGTAATTTTTTTTATAGATGAAGCTCATTCTACACGATTTTTGTTGTCAATTGGAACTCTGTTTGGTAGTCATTTGGGACTTTCCATACTTTCAGAAACAGTACGTCAAATTGCTATGATAAGGTAAAAATGTACGAAAAACCTAACAACATAAAAATTTAATTAATATTTTAAATACAGATTTGCGATATGTCGCAATTTGCTTATCTTACAACAAGTTCTAATTGATACCTATATACTACCTGTGGATATTTTGGAGACATTGCGTTCACAATATATGCCTGATACAATCATTTTCTTACAGTCATACTATGTTATGGTTTGGATATCAGAGACTCCTGTTAATATGAATTCAATATCCTTTTTGTAAGTAGTTGAACATATAAATGTATAAATTTTTATTAGTTATATATTATTTCTACAAAATTTAGGGAAACATCTGTTCAACGATTAAATCTACTGCAGTTGTCTAATGGCTCTGGTCGTATTTACACAAGTGGTGGCAAAAGTTATGCAGCGCCCCTTTTGCGTGTTTTTCTTAACGCTAAGGGTTTATACACATCGTTGGCGCTATATGCAGATAATTTTAAGACTTTAGCAAATCCCACTTGGCAGAATACATTACTTCCACTCACAACAATTGTTAGTCAATTAATGTATGCAACAATTTAATTGTAAATTTGGATTTCCGAAATTATTCAATAATTTATTTTTCAGATGGGCAGTATCATTTAACTTTGTATTTGGCGAGTGGCTATTTGGAACAAGTCAACACATCATTTTAGAGGACTATGTGCGTTTACTCAACAGTTGGTGCGAATGGAATTCATGTTCAAGTAATTACCTGAAAGTTTTTCCATAATACATTCTAGTGTAGTGTTGTAATCCGTACAGATCTATAAAGCAGGAAACATGAAGAGAATTACGATACGAATACATTGATAGGATGTGATTAGGAAAATGTAGAGTAAGAAAAAAGGTTTTTTTTTTTGGGACGAGGTGAAGAAAGCTATTGACTTCAATGGGTTTGTTCCAACAGATACGTTTGTTTAATTAACTTAAAATAAATCTGTCGTCAAACCTCGTCTAGAAATGATAGATCCGTGAGATTATAGAGATATTTGAGTATTTAAAGGCAGTTAATAGCGACACGCATTACTTCAGATGTTTATGTCATTAACAAATTTTTTCAAATAGTTCAGTACAACATTCAGTCCCTCAAAATTTTAGTAAAGCTTAAGACTTATACAAAAGAAATAGGATGGAACTTTATAGGGGAATTATGTAGTATAAGAAATGTGAGAATGAATTGAATAATTGAATGTAATCTGAGTCCAGGCGGAGAATGTTTGTTACCTTAATTGAGCGGAGTCTAAAAATATCCGTCATCATTTCCGTCTGGAGAACAAAAAACAAATATCTACATAACTTCAAATTTTAATAGTGTGACTTATTTTAACGCGAGACTTCCTTTCAAATATGAAAGGTATTCATTGCAGCACAAATATGCTGACAATATAAACAATAGAGATGTTCAAAATCATCCAAAACAATTGTACAAATCACTAAAAAACTCACTTAATATAAAAATAAATTTTTGTATTTAAAAATTATTTCGATTAAATTGCGTTAAATATTTAATTTTTTCTTTATTTATAGGACAATTTATATTAGCTGTATCTTTACTCGATTGTGGAGAGGCTCATAAAGCATATGACTTATTCCTTAAAGCAGCTAAAGGTGTTCTAAAAGAACAATTTTTATTTGATAAAATTCTTAGAGGAACTCGTTTGGCTGAGCAACTTGAATCTGTATCTATAGAGGATCGCAATTGTATGGAAGTCAATAATCAAGCAATTGCTCAGTATTATTTAAAAGTTATACAACTTTTTGAGCACCACAATGCTTTGGATCATATTATTAATGTTAGTCAAGCGGCTATTGGAATGTTGGACAAGGGCGACCCACAATTACCAATGTTTCAATCTATTGTATTCAACAATCACCTACAGCTGGAACACTATGAAGAAGCATATCACTCACTTATTTACAATGCAGAAACTTCTCGTCGAAAAGATTGTTTACGTCAGTTGGTTATAAACTTATTTAGCCGCAAGCGATTGGATTTACTGATGAATTTTCCATATGTGGGTTTGTATGAGGAATTGGAAAATATAGTTGAATCTCGCGCTCGTTCTCTGAGTATTGAGGGAAATGAAGTTTATGATTTTCTGTATGCTTTTCATGTCAACAATGGAAATATGCGTAAAGGTAAAGTAAATTTAAAAGTGATTGTTACATTATTTTACAACTAACTTAATATTTACTGAGCGAGCTATTGAGTAACTCCTCTTTTTGTACACTTTTAGCTTCAGCCATTATGTACGAGCAAGCAATGCGTCTGCAGTTAGAGAGTGATTCAATAGAAAGCGTACAAAAACGTTGTGAAAGCTTACTGGTTTGTATGAATGCATTGCATCTGATAGATCATCGTTATCGTTGGATTGCCAAACCAGTAATAAATGAAGATAATTTAGTACAAATGAGCAATAATTTTGAAGCAATGGAGACGGATAATTCGAATAACAAACACAAAGTTGCTGTTTTAGAAATAATTGATGTGAAACGGGAATTACTACAGGCAGAAGCATTTCTTCAATTGTCACAAAAACGGAAAGACGTACAATCATTTTTTAATGCTGGGCCGCAGGAACTAACTATTATGCTGGCTTCCTCTGGTCTTTACACTGATGCAGTGAAACTAGCAAATGGATTTAATATATCAATTTTACCAGTATTTGATACTTTGACCACTGCTTGTGTACATATAACAGAGGAAACGGCGAATGAAGTATGGTCATGGTTACAAGAAAACGATTTAGCAGGTAGTGGCTTATAATAAAACATAAACAACTATATATAAATTTACGTATATTTAAACTTTTATTTTTAGATCTACCGCATCGAAATAAAGCTGCTGATATGGCTTGGTCACTTCTAAAAAAACTTGTGATTGATAATGAAAAAGAAAATTCCACAGAAATTCGCAAATGCGTTGTAAATAAAATACTTAATTTAAACTCATTTGTTCCACAGTGGCTCTATAATGATTATAAGGTTAATTATTGCAGCTTCATATATCTTATTATTTAAATTTATTAACATTTTTATTTTAGTCAGAGAATTGTTCCGAGCTTCTATATTTGTATGTTAAACATAGTCGTTTATTAGAAGCAGCTGAGTTAGGTAAAGAATTTATCAGCGCTATGCTAGGAGCTGGAAGTGAATACTTTAGTTGCAAACATTCAATTGCAGTAACCAATGCCGAAATGTGTTTACCTCTAAATACTTTAGATTTACTTTTGCATGGCCTCAAACTAAATGAAAATAATGTCGAGTATAAAGAAGTAAGAATTATACCATATAATTAATAATACGAATAATATATTAAATTGTTATATTTGTAGGCACTCATAGATTTGGAAGAGATTCTGAACAAATATGTCAATACTGCCCTTAGAACAGCTAGAGATAAAATTGAAATTTCTATGCGAAATGAGTAAACCTTGTTTTCATTTTTTTTTATTTATTATAAATATATGTAATTTTAAATATTTAACTTTTTATCTTTTGTTAAAATACAATTTATTAAAAATCATCCATCATCATTGAATCATCTATAAACTTTTTATAAATACTCATAAATTGTGCTACAAATGCTTCAAGATGAAAAATATGTTTCGAACCGTTTTGCATTCGATGTTCATACATAGATGCAACTTCCAATGTTTTTGCTTTAAGTGTCATATCGCAATTACCAACTAACTGCTGTACCAGTGACTTAAATATTATATCTGGTGGCACACCTTGAGCCAACAATTCATACAACCTTTCTCGAATTTTTTCCAGCTTAGCTGGAGTTTGTTCTTGAATTATCTGATTAGCTGTTTCACGTAAGAATAGTTGCCAATCGAGTTCTATAATATCTTGGTTTGATGTAAATGGATATTGTTGGACTTTACAAGCTTCAAGATTAAGAATAGCTCTGCGAAGATTACGATCTGATTTCTCAATTATTCGCATTGCTAACTCTCGTGGCAATTGTAGGTTTTCGCGTTTGCATGTTGCTTGCAATACTATATACATTTCATCAACTGTTGGGGCTGCTACTCTTATGCCCAAGCAACGTGAACGTATAGCAGGTATAACACGTGACGTTGAGTTAACAGAAAGTATTATGCGACATGTAGCAACATATTTTTCCATTGTACGACGTAGCGCATGTTGGGCGTCTTTGGTTAGTTCATCTACTTCTGACAGCACTATGACTTTAAAATCACGTTGACCGTTTACATCAATTTGTTGAGTTTGCGCTACTTGCTTAATAAGATCAATGACTACGACACGATCGTATATTCCAGCATCGGATGGGTTAACTTCTAAATGATAGTTACTACCAACAGTCATTATTTCAATTTTGCGGTTCGATGGTGTTGTAAAAGTCATTGTTTCATTTCGTAAACGCTCTACACCGGCTCCGTACAATTCTCTTAGCAAGCACATTATGCGAGTTTTTTTTCCTGCTCCGGAAGGCCCATAAAACATTAAATGGGGAAAATCACTTTGTTGGCATAAATTCTTTAAATTTTCAGCTTGTTCCTAAAAAGATAAAACGTTAATTCAGATATTTTATTCAAATAAACAAACCAGAAAGAGTAGATATACTAAACAATAAAGAGTATTTTGCTATTGGATTATTGTTGCTTACTTGATGGTAGTCAACTTTAGATAGTTCGCGTGGCCGATGTTTATCCACCCATAAAGCCATTTTAACTATAGTACTTTTTGAAATTAATAAATAAATTTATTTGCATTTATATGAAAGACCTCAATATAACATTTAACAATTTGCACTGTTTAACAGATTTCCCGCGGTTTATGATTTTTTTTCTGTCATCATATGTTACCAACGGTTTTTAATTCACAATAGCAAAAACTCGATTTTAAGAATTGCACCTGCTTCTTGAAATATTTTAATGCGGTTATCAATACCAAAGGTATATTCTGGTGGTTGTGAGCGTAAACAAAGAATATCCTGATAAGTCTTGTTAGTAGAGAATCAGTAAACTTTACTAAGTTAAGTTGACTGAGTTTGAGTATCAATTCCTCAATCCATATCGTATTGAAAGCTTTCTTTTAACCAAGCTTACAACTAACATTGAGTTTGATTTTAATTCACATCTCAGATATTACTTTGGAAGTGATGAGTGGTATCAGTCATTAAAATGTTATGTCGAAATTCGAAATGGAGGTTTGGGAGTATTAAATGTCTTATGCTGTTTACTAATGGAGTTACGGAACGCAATGATGGCTTCTAGCTTTTGTAAATGAGAAGAACTATAGCTCTAATGAATAAGGGACATATGCAATAAATAGAGAGAAAAGCCTTCGGAGAGCATAGTTAGAAATAGGTGTTATAATAACACCTTTTATAAGAGTCAATGGTATTTCGATTTAGAATATTGTAGATACCAGAACTATAGTAAGAAACCTATTGTGGTCAACTAAATCTGGGCAGTTAACGATGACAAATATTACATTGTTTCATTCATATACACTCTACACTCCACTATACAAAATATGTAGTATTGAATTGAAAGCAGTATTAATGTTAAATACGATTACTCTTTACGCTATTACTTAGCGTAGCTGAGAAGCTGGGATAGAGGTTAACTTATTGGAGAAAGTGCCTAAATGCACTGACTCAATTAGCCTCAACATAATAATTCAATTTTAATCAGTTTCACAATTTTTATTTAGATATACTGCCAAACTTATAAGCAATAAAAATTTGTAATATTTTACTCACTCATTACAGCTTTTATAAAAAATTTTAAAGGCTTTAGGTGTACGGGAACGAAAACCGTTTGACATGTGTATAAATTTTAGCGCACGGGAATATGTCATAATGTCTTGAGATATTAGTTTATTTTAAGCTTTAATAAAAAACTAAAAAATTATTGGTACAAAAAAAGCATTCTATGTGAATATATTTCGCATTTCTTTATTTTACCTTACCAAAGGTATTCTTTGGTACAAATATTTGTGCAATATATGTTCACAATAGATCTTCTTATGCTGTGGTGCTATTGAATTCTTTAATATTTCTGGCATGTTTAGATTAAAAGTATTAACGAACGCATAGTACCTTTTATTTTCATAAATATACATTAATTAGTTCTTCGTATTTTCCTTAAATAATCCATACAAATATGAGCGAAATAACAGTGTAAAATAGAAAAAATTTTTTAATCGCCCCTTGTAGTATGTTTACACTATTGTACTTAAGTCATTTTGGGGTTTATCTCGATAAGCGTTTAGGTTTAGGAGTTTACTGTCTTAAAACATTCCAGTGTGGCAACCACGTGTGCAATTGTTGACTAAAACAATCACAAATAAAGCGGTGAATGGAATTAAAATTAATTTATAAACAAAAACACAGCAGCAGGCAGTTTTGTTTTTTCACGTGATAAATCAATTTCAATAAATATTTTGAAAATAGACCTAATTCAAGATATGGATACAAATTTAATAACTTTATTTGATAACAACGAAGGTAGAAGGAAACTTCTTAAGATTTATTTGTTTAGCTAATGCAATGTTTACACTTGTAATTATCGAACTTTAGTATCAGGTTTTTCTATCGATTTTATGGTGTATATGTGTTGCACAGTTGTTAAGTTAATTGTATACTGTAAATTCTCTAATTTTCAGATGGTTTCTTGAAGGAGGAAATTTTAAGTGATGACTCTGAGAGTAATGGAATAAGTTCAGCTGAAAACAACAAAGTTGTTATTGTAAAACTCCCAACCGGAAAAAAGTTCCGCGCCATCCATATGGAAGATGATGATGTGGAAAGCAGTGAGACAGGTTTGTTATATTAAATAAATTTAAATATAAAATGCAAGGATTATTCGCAGAACATCCAAGTTGTTCCAAGGAAAGGAAACGGCGCATCGCTTGGTCTGAGAATGCGGAAAAGCTTTTATTAGAATTTTGGGAAGAAAGAATTGACGAGCTGCGTAGTATGCAAAATAATGCCCAAGTATATTTAGAAATCGCAAATAAATTAAAAAAGCGTGGGTATCCAATTTCTTTTAGTGAAGTTAAGAATAAAATGAAAAACTTACGAAACAAATATAAGTAAATGCATATTCCGTACAGTGCTTTCTTATACTGATTGTTAACATTGTTAATTTTAGAGATGAAAAGAAGAAAATAGACGCATCTGATTCTACACCATCCAGTTGGACGCACTATGCCAAGCTGAATTCAATTTTAGATGGATACAAGTTATTCAGTTTGGAACAATTAGAAAAAACTAAAACAGGTGTATATTTATAAATACTAATTTGTATAAGTCAAGTATAGAAATAGGAATTTGTCCATTTTAGAATTTTCATCAGCGCCAATTAGACCTGAATATAAAAACAAAGATGTGGATCAATATGAATTGCAAGTCACTAAAGGTGGATATATATTTTTTTTGTATTTCAATGTTACATTTATTTATATATATAATATCATTACAAGTAGAAGGCAAGTATAACGATACTAATCGACACTATTCAGATCATGAGTTTCCATCTGCGTCCGCTAGGCCTGAACATAGAAAAAGTAAGAAAGATACGATTCAACAGGCAGAATTCATACGTGCACTAAATACAGCTAATAGCATTGCAGAAAAGGTGTTAATGTTACAAAATAAAGAGTTTTTAAACTCGCAAAAACAAACAGCACTGATGGAACAACAAACAGAACTTCTTAAGAATATAGCTGAACGTACACAACAATTTAACGCAAAAATTTGGGGATTATTAAATAAAAAATAAGTCAGTGCTTACTTGGATTAGATTCTGCTAATATTATAAATAAATTATTTAATTAAATTGTGAATTTTCTAGCAATTTGTTAAACTGTAATAAAATCTTAAATAATTTTTATTACATGTCGTGGTGGTGCAAGCAAGCGATAAAGTTCGGATTTTGTTAAATTAATTATTTTGTAAAAAATTTGACATAGATTTTTTGTTTTATTGTAAATAGTTAACACTTAGTTTTGATTTAACTCGGATAAATTAAATAGATATTATATATCCTAATACAAATAAATTTATTATTTTCATTTTAATGACATTCTCAACTACAATAAGCTAATATATAATATACTGAATTGAATTTAAATATTTGTAGTTAAATGTTAACAAATACTGTACTGTTACAGAATGTTGTGTTTTTGAGCAGTTGATAATTATGCTCAAATAATTCGTTGAACCTTCACTGTAGATAACAATAATATTTTATGATAGCACGGTATTTCTAAAACATACATTCTAATGCTTAAAGACATTTTTAAATATTAGAAGTGTATTGATTTAATAGTCTTTGTATCAAACTGATCATACACGGCAAGTTCATCTGGCGTAAGTTTAGCTGACGAATATATTCATTTTTTATGATGTGAAAGCTTGTTAACAAGTTTCGCAAAAAACACAGTAATGTAATGTCCTGCCTACAAAATAAAACAAATCATTTTTGAAACAAACTGCTCAAAAAGCTTTTTTCTCTAACGTCTTCTCGGCATTTAAATTTTTTGTGTCTTAAATATATAATAGTACATAGTAATATTATTTTATACGGTTGACTTTTATTTTCTTTATTTTTGTATACTTATTTGTTAATACTAAAAAATATAAAGAAAAGTTATTTGTGTTTTTGATGGTTTGCTGTAATATCTTCTATTTCGATGCTTAAATATTTTTACGGTATGCAGTATAAATGTTTTAAGAAATCCAATTCTTCAAACAACATTGCTAATAATTATTTCTTATTATTTTTTTTATTTCTTGCCTTTTTTATGCCTTCACTTAACCAAAAATAAACAAAAACAAACCCAGCTGATTTGATTTGAACGTTTCCCTGAGAAATTAAAATGGAATTGAAACATACCTAGGTCGCATTTTGAAAATTTGTCAATATTTTAATTGATGTAGACAGTAAGATATTTAATAAAATTAAAAAGTTAGAGGCGTTTTTAAGTATCTGATAGAAATATTTTTACATAATTATTTTATTAATGAGTTCGAACAGTTGATAGTTGTTTACTATAAATTATGTCATTCTATTTGCTACTTAAAAATTTTAAAAATATGTAACTTTTATCAGTTTTTATATCACCAGATTTAAACGCGGCAAAGTATGTTTCATTTCCATTTTGGACCGAGCGTTGACGCAAATCAGTAGAAGCCGCACATATTAAATCAGAGAATATTGAATCCACGTTGAAATATTTAAGAATCATAATTTCAAACGTATATGTTTTTTAAATATAATAGAGAAATTAAAAACAACTTTATTTGAAATTATGGCGGCAAGCAATAAAAATACGCAAGGTGCTCTTATATGTTTACCAGGCCAAAGGTTGTGTTTATCAAGCGAAACTACAGTAGCAGGACCAGGAACTTTTGAAAGGCAAGGATACATATATTCCACATTAGCGGGAATTGTCAAAACAAAAGAAAAAGATAATGTATTATTTATTGATAAGTTATGTTGATATTTAATAATACATTTGATTAGTTTTATTTTAGTCAACATATATTGAAGTTGAATGTGCAGGAAAACCTCTTCTTGTTCCTGTTGGAGGAGATTTAGTAACCGCTAGAGTTACATTAGTCAATCAACGATTTGCAAGATGTTCGCTACTCTCTGTAGCTAATCATATCCTTGATCAACCTTATCGTGCAATTTTACGGAAAGAGGATGTTAGAGCAACAGAAAAGGATCGTGTTGATATGGTTAAGTGCTATAAACCGGGTGATATAATATTAGCTCGTGTAGTAAGTAACATATTACATAGATTATTTTTAATTTAGTAAATTTTTAAATTAATTCATAATTAACAGTTGCCGCTAACTGATCTAACATGTTATCAAATAAGTACCGCAGAAAATGAACTTGGTGTAGTATCTGCAATATCAGACGAATGCAGACCATATGGGGAGTTAATGGTTCCTTATAGTTGGACTGAAATGCAATGTCCAAGAACGTTAATTAGGGAACCAAGAAAGGTTGCAAAAGTTTTGTCTGAAAGATTCGTTAAATCGGAGCAAGATTAGTTGGTTCTTGTTTTTATTTTAAAATTTTTTGACATTTAATAAAAAATGATATTTGAATTTCATATTAAAAAAATATATTAATTAACTTGAATATGCACCCTATTTTGTTGAAACAAAATTTTTTATGTTTCTTGAAAATAGCATCTTAAAGTATGGATAAAATAAATAAATGGTAAATTAAAAGCAATTATTTGTAAGTAGTTATTCGACAATAAAAAATATTTGTATTTGTGGCATTGTTATCTGTTCTAAAGACTTTTATGTATTCATGCTTACAAAATAGAATTAAACGAAATTTAGATATTAAACAGTTACTACTGCTCAAGTTGTTAAAATTTTGGCGATCGTTCCGCTGCGGTCACTTATATGAATGGAGTAGAGAAGTAAATTGTATGCATTTTAAAATTAAAACGATAATAAAAAGTACATTTTTACAGCACATGCTCTCATATTCATCAAAACAGCTTAAAAGAGAAAAAACTATATTAATTAGTTAAAGCCCCATTTTTGTGCTTTTACAATATAAGATTCATGCTGACATTAAAGGATTATAGTTTATACATATTCCAACTAGTATATATATTTCAACTATACCATAATATGTTACTTAAGTTGTGATGTATAGTATTCCACACCTAATAATACAATCAATTTAAAATATGTATTTAATTAAATATATATTTTTTTAAATGTATATATTATATTTTTGTAATTATTTAATTTTTTTACATATATTTAATTTTTTTTTTAAACATATTATTTATATAATATGTGTGAGCAGCGTATATTCAGAAATGAAGTTATCCACTAATTCCGTTTCTAAAGTGTTTTTAGCACGATCATATAATGTGGATACATTTTTGGGCTCACCATGTTCACGTTCAAATTTAATAAAATCAATCCAAACTTGTGTATTTGTTTTTCCAAAATAAAAAACTGCATTTACATAGCATAAGCGCCACCGATCCATGTCTGCCTGATTCTAAAATTTTGCATACTTTAAATTATATAAAAAAGGTAATTTATGAATTTTGTACCTTCGCAACGGTTTGTGATTCAAGAGCTGCCATTTTTTGGTGTAGCTCACGACATGGCGGAGGTAATAAACACAATTTATCATACTCAGATCGAGTTTTTTGCATTGAAAAGTTCAATATACAAAAATCTAAATAATTACAACGAAATTCACCAAAATCTGGTGATGCTTCTTGACAAGCCTCTTTGAAAAGTTTTTGTAGTTGTTTCCCACAATCATTATAGTGTGTTTTATAAAATTGTATTAAACTACGCCAGAGTGAAACACATTTTTGTGCGCCAAGTTCATCATTTGCTGTACGAAACGTTTCGTAGGCTTTTGGCTCATTGTCGGCTACTATGTATGTGGAAAGCAGTAATTCGTAAAGTTTAATTGATTTATGAATTTTTAAAGCATCCATTAGTGTTTGTTCTGCTATTGGCACACCAGTTGGGCTTTCAAGTAGCATTTGTACATAGGTACAGTAGTGGTCAACACTCATTAAACGAGATGCATGCCCTTCTTTAAAGGCAATTGCCAAACATTTGCGTTTTAAAACTTTCTCTGCCGACATATCTTGGTTCAGTTTCAACATAGCATTAATATATTTTGTCCACATGTTAGTTGTTTCTAACTGAACATTAAAATTCATTAATGAAATATTAAAATGCATTAATATATTATCACATGCTTACCGTTCGGACTGCTGTTTGGTAAACATTACAACAAAGTTCTATGCGACGTTTAAGTGAACGTTTCTGGAATAAGTTTTGATCATTATCAAAATTTTCTGTTTTTTCTATGTCCTTTGATTGTTGTTCACCATCAACCGCATTATCTTTTATATCCATGGAATTGTTTAAATCACTCATATTATAACCGCGAAGCTCTCGTTGTGCTAAAGTATCCCACAGAATTTCATTTCGTGGGAAATTAGTCATTAAATCATCGATTATAACTTTTTGTAGTGGTGTTGTTATATTTAAAAATTTCTCTGACTCGCACCGTTCCAACAAGCTTAAAAAGAAATTTATATTTTGTATAATTTTTTTACTATTCTTGTAAACGATCAAAACTTGTTCCAAACGAATAATTTTTTCATCAGAAGATATAGCATTCTTCTGTGTACTCATTTTTATAGCTGATAATAAGAGAGTATCAAAAAAAGTTTTATAAATTTCTTCAGAGTCCGGATGTCTTTGCAAAGCACGAAAAAAAATTTCTTTCACTTTTTTTATATTAGAACTATACTCGTATATCCAAAGTGCAGCATCACACCAAACACGAGGCTTGTCACCATAAAACTATAATTAAAATTTTAATTATTTTCTGTTTTGGAAATTTTAGTACATAAAAACAAATGTTCTAAAGAGACACTAACTGAACGATTAAGGTTTGTGTACTTTTCAATCACTTACTGTTAGCATTTTTTCGTATATGCCAGATACTTCTTGTGGTGCTGATTTTTTACTAAAATTTATAAAGTTGTCCCAAAAACGTTCTTCATGTGGGAATGCTCGCAGACCATCTCGATAAAGTCGTATAATACGCGAGGCTATGGAACTCTTCAGGCCAGTTAATTTATTGCCATGAAAACGTTCTTTTTCAGTTACCCATTTATGTACCTTTCTTTCAAATAATATGAAGTCAGCATAATCTCTTACGGATTTTCCTTTCTGTGTTATCTTAAGTTGTAAACTATCGCGCTTACGGATGCATTCTCTATATTGAAAATATATTGTTAGAAGTGTATAAGGCAAAGATATTTATATTTAACAACCTTATTTGTTCATCTGTGCAAACTTCAAATTTTTTTAACTGTTCATATTCAGGCAAAAGCCTTTCTTGCATTTCTGCTAAAAATTCAGCCATGTTTTATTATATTATTGAATATATTTTCCACAGTAAATTAATAACAATTCCAATTCGTTCAAAATATTTAGAGGTCTTAAAACTCACGTTGTCACATTTGACATAAAGTAACAACAAAAGCAGATGTCGATAGTGCAGGACTCTTCTAATGCTATTGTCATATATGTCATACATTTATTCTGCTTTATATACACCCTCATTATTTATGTTTTTGTTAAACAGCCCTGTTTTTTGTATTTGACAGCAAATTCCTTCAGTTCGGCTTTTATCATATCGCTGTGTACGTTGTTAATAATAAGAAAGTTTAAATTTTCGTAAAATCTGAATATTAAACAGTTTTATATTGTAAAATACAACATTAATATGCATATCGCGTAAATGCAATTTATATAAAGTTTGTATTTAAAGTGATTTGTTACCACTAACTAAAAGTATGTCAGAAAAGTCAAGAGCTGACACGTCAACGAACACCGTACGTGTTCAGACCCAAAATCCTTTGTTAAGTCCAGCCGTTACTGGACTTATAATAGATACACCAATTATTTTACCAGCTGCGCCGCCAATACATTCAATTCCTGTAACATTAAATAGAGGTAACTATTTGTAACCTGTTGCATCAGTTGCTGAGTCGGTTTATTGGGTTATGTAGCCTAAGAAATTATATTTGCTGTATGCAATGCATATGAATAAATTAGATTATTTATTTTTAACTTCATTGATAACTGCCACTAATAATTTTACAATATAATAAAACATATTCCTACACATTTGCAGCGCCATAAAAGTTGTTATTGTATGTTTACCAAAACAAAGTTGCCATATTGCTTCTTATTAATAAAACAAATTTTATTTATTTATGTTGGTTTTAGTATTTTTCAAATAAAAATGAGAATAAAATCTCCAAATCCTCTCTTAGAAAAATAGATAACAAACGAAATATGAAAACGTTTTTAAATAAAAAATAGTAAACTGTTTTGGCGGTATATTTTAATTTTTATTAAAGTTGGAAAGTATAGAAATTGTCAGTATGATCTGTATAATCAGGCAAAAAATTCAATTAATCGAATGAAATTTTTATTGTTTATTTTTAACTCTCATTCACAACCCTTTTTATTTAAAAAAAAATTGTTTTATCGTTATATAACTTATAAGTAAAAGTTTAAGAAGAAATTCATTTTGGTACACTTTTTATCATATCTTTATCATTGATTTTAAAACCAAAAATTTAAAATCATTTATTTTATTTATGCTACTGACATTATTACATTGCTTAAGGTAAAAAACTTATATAGACTCTTAATGCTATATAAAATCAACATGTTGACACAAAATAATGCTGCGTTTACACATATTTTTATTTATTCATACAATATATACTTGATTTTTTGCCATAAGAAATTCTTTTGGTACTTAAGTCCTGATTAATGCCTTATTATTCCATACTTCGAGTCGAATGAGAACGATATGTGGGTAAATCTAAGACAACTCGACGTCTTCGACAACACCATACAATACCCACAATCATTAGTATTATCAGTAAAATCAATAAAATCGCACCCAATGTAATGGCTGCAATGGACGCTTCTGTCAGCACAATATCTCGTACATCAATAGTGTTAGATTTTTGATTTCCTGCTATGTCGTATGCAATCAAAGATACTTTAGGATCACAACAACTTGCAATATAAGTGGCTTTTAAAGGTTCTGTTGAACCAATAGTATAAGAATTTCTGTATATAAGACCCGTAGGCGTTGACTGTAGTCGCAAAATACCCGTTTGCCAATCTTGTGCAGTGATGTCTAATGTCCAAAATCTTTCACCACAATTTGAAGCATCCCTCGGCACATTTTCACAACGATTTCCAAATTCCCATGACAAACTTGGTGATGTAGTATCCTTAACAAAATTTTAGTAAATTGATTATTTAAAATCAATATTTTACAAATTCATTTACCTGTATATCTGTTGGTGTCATAACTTTCAAATTCAATGATAATGATGTTGTTTCTGCAGTACCACTGCCATGACAAGTAAATGTAATTTTATCAACAGTACCTTGTGGCGTACTGTTTGGTACTACAACAGTTACGGTAACTGTAACAGTTTCACCAGGTCTTATAAAAATGCTGGAAAGTATTCATTATTTTACGTATAATCATAATATTATATTGTATTCAATGTTATATATTACCTTTGTGGTACTAATCTCACCAAAAATTTTCTCTCATCAATTACTTGCAAATTATGATATACAGCGGATGTTCGAGTATTAGTAATTTCAAAATATAATTGTCCCATCATTCCTGGAGCAACTAAAATTTGTGAACTAGTCCCCATTTCAACTCTGGTAGTACCAATTTGTAGTAAATTTTTAGCATATTGTTTAGCAGCCATCTTTGTTGCGTCGTCAGTCAACGTTTCGTTTGGTGTAACATTTGTATGTATCTCTGTATCCGAAAAGGTCTCCACTTCTGATTTCGGTACATCCAGTAATTCATTGGTATCTTCTTTTTTGTCGTCATCGGGAAATTTTAAATTATCATGTGTAGTTAAAGTGGCTGCTGCCAATGCTGAAGTAATACTTTGCAAACGATTGTTTCGAAATTTCGAAGGATATGAGGATGTTCCATCGAAGAAATATGTGTCAAAACGTTTGATCATATCATCTATAAATTTAAAGAAAAGTTAAAAACTAAGTTATATGAACAAATAGTATAGAATATAATAATTTTACTTTTGATAGGTTATCTCTTAATAGATATATAAAATTTTCAATTTTTTTCTATGCAATTATATCATAAATTAATTAAAAAAAAAATGCTCTTGATCTATAGATCATGCAATAACTTTCTATTCCCTCTGCTCTTATTATAGTCAGAAAAATATATAATGTGTGTAACGCCCAATATAAACAAAAATAATATAATTCTTAAGTTGTTTTCCTATTATTATCTACTCATCTAAGTATTGATGAGCGCCCATCTAAAAACCGCACCAGTTTTCCTTTTTTAATTTTTGTATTTTAATTGATAATGTATATTTTCGTAACAATAATCAAATTAATAGTTTAAAAATAAGTCTTCGAATTTACAAAGTGTTTTTACCCAATTTGATTGATGTAAAGATTATAAACTATAAATAATATAGAGTTGTATGACGTCTTTGGATGTAATAATGACATACCCCTAGTTTATTGTTTACAGTTCTTACGTAGATGTTCAAAATTGAAGGGTTCAAATGTTATCAGCACTCATCATCAGAATGAAAACCTTATCTCATATTTAAATTAATTAATGAAATCAAGCCTTATTGTACGTATAACTAACCTTGATTGTTTAGTTGAAATTTAAATTCGAAAGCGCGAAGAACAAACTCTTGTTTACTTACCCAAAAAGAGGTCGGCCTTACGATCTGCACGTACGAAAACGCTATATTCTTCTTCCATTGATTCCGGCACCATTTTTAGTTTAAACACGGTTGATTTACGTAGTTTTGTTAATGGTACAAAAGCATCTAATCTCTGATCGTCCTTACCAAGTGTCAATATACGTGATTTAAATTTAACAAGTTTTCTTAAGTTTATTTCTAAAAAATTTAATATAAAATTTTAATGAAAATGCCACATAAGGATATACAATTAAAATTTATTAATATAATTGAAAAGGTTTGTTAAGAAAGTTAAGAATTATTAATTTCTATTTCTGGTTTTTGCTTAAAATCGATATAAACTGAATTATTTTTAAATTAATTAATTAATCGATATTGTTTCATAAATAAAATTTAAAGTGTTATTTGACTTAAAAAATATGCATGATTTTTATTAATTTACTATATAGCTAGAGAAATCAAAATATAAGCAAGTAAAATGTTGTTTTTTTATATATATTTTAAAATAAAATACTATTAATTATTCCATAGTTAGTAAATAAAATATTAGTTACTTAGTAGTTGAAAAAGTTTATAAGTAAAAAATGTTATTTTTAATTGTCCATAGAGTTGTTTATCGATTTAAGCAAGCGCAAATGTCTTAAACATTTTTCAAAATGAAAAAGAACTTAAATGAACTTCGAAATGTGAAAAATTTAAAAACAATTTTAAAATAAAAATACACAAAAAGGCTTTAAACAACAAACACATTAGCGCTAGAATAGTGAATTAAAAACAAATGGCATTTTCCAGAATTTATGGCTGACACGACCATTGTCTATGATATATAAAAAATCATGATCAAGATTTCATTAAAAATTTTTTTATTCAAGTAGTTAGTTCTTGAAAACAAAATACACTTTTAAAAACTGGAAGGCTTTTCTAATTAAATTATGTTACATATAAAAACTTTAACAAAAAGAATATTACTTTACAACCTAAAGCCTAGTATTAACATCCATTTCGTATAAAAAAAATAACATAAAACTTCAAATAAAATAAATTTCCTTTTGTACAATGATAAAATTTTGTGAAATATATTTTTTCTTCAATTTTTTGTGCGATATGGATATTAATATTATGTCTCATTTACAAATTACCCCAATTACGAAAGTCTTCAAAGTTGTTTTTAGACTACTAAAACAATTCGTGAAATAATTTTATGTTTAGTCTATCGAGACTATTGTTTATAAACAATAAATTCACAACTGCAATGGATAAATGAACGAAAATTTTATAAATAGTTTTATTATTTATTTTAAAAAATTATGTGGCTAAAATTACTGACTCATATAAGTTAATTCTGCACGTGCTTTTGAAATTACTTTTAGCTTTCTAATCGCAGTTTAGCATCAATTTTAATAAGAAACATTGCTTGAGAGCATTTCATAAACGTCTTAAAATTTGGTTTAGGGTAAGAGTTGTGGGTTGTTACTTTCAACAGAAGTTTGATTTTTATTACAAATAATATTTTGTAATAATAATAATTTTTATTACTAATAACGGAATTATTTTTCATGATGTTTTTAAATTAAATTTATTGTAATTTATTTAAAATTAAATAAGAAATGATATGAATTGCTTATTGTTTAAGGAAATAATTTCAGAAGAATTTATAATATTTTTTATATATTAGTTATTTTGTAACCAAACGATTTTAATAAGTGTTTTTTTCAGGCTAATTTATTTTACAATAATTTTTATATTTATCGATATTATACTTTAGTTTAAAGTCGAATTAGACTAAGTGATTTTTTTTTTTTAACAACATATGATGATTTTTTAACAACAATAAAAAAATTTGACCAAATTTTTTAAATATTTGTAATGTATTTTTAATATATTTCATATAAATATAAATATATGACACATATATTTTTATATATACAAAATATATATGAAATATATTAAAAATATATATAAGATATATTAAAAATATATTTAGGACGTGTACGAGTTAGACTAAGGACGTGTGCGAGTTAGGCTAAGTTGATGCTAAACCAAATGGGAGATTTTTTGGGAATTTTTGCACTGCACACATTTAGCCATTTATCAACACGTATCGACACATCACTACATTATCGGCACATTTTAGAATTTCCCTCATTTAGAACGCGACTTAGCCTAACTCGCACACGCCCTAAGTTGATGGTTAACCAAATGGGAGATTTTTTGCGATTTTTTGCACTGCACACTTTTAGCAGTTTATAAATACCTATCGACACATCACTACATTATCGGCACAACGTAGAATTTCCATAATTTAAAACGCAGCTTAGCCTAACTCGCACACGTCCTTAAAATATATTTAAAATATATTTCAAATATATAAAAAGTTTTATAAATTCAATCGCAATTTTTTTCATTTTATAAAATGAGATTTATATTGAAACATCACTTCTCTGTAGTATATTTCATCAATCTGGTAACATCGAAACAACTGATTAGTTTTCACAGCTGATCAGTTGAAAAAAAAAATATAAACAGAAAACCAACCAATAACAAAAATCCAAACAATCAAAAACAAAACGTCAAAAGTGTATGCGAAGAAAGTTACGCAGTGTGCGCTATAATAAAAAAAATAAAAATATTGTACGTGTATGCATTAGAAAAATAACCAAAATTTAAGTAATTAAAATTATAACAAAAATGTATATATAGATATATATGGATTTATGTACAATGTAGAAAGTGTTTTTTCAACCTACCAACTTTATTCAATTTAAGATTCAAAGCAAAAGTTAAGGTAATAAAATAAGATACATAATTAACATAAACTTTTGTAAAAGATGATTATTTAATGTTTTGTTGTTGTATAATTTTGGGTTTTGTTTATGATTACGTTTATTTCGTTGAAATATTATCAATATTATTATACCAGACTTTGATTTATTTTTATTTATATTTCATAATTCTTTTTAATAAATTGAGCCAATCGCATTGAAACTGATATTTATTAGTTATAATTATATTAAAATATGCTTTACAACTAATAATTTTTTATTCGACATACCAACTTTTTTGTTCCAAAGTCTAATAAGATTCTAACGTATGTGTCACTTTAGCAATCACCTCATACGTCATAGTTGTTACAATGTAATGCTTAAAGTATACCCGAGAAAATGACAGAATTTTTGCCATAAATAATTTGATTTATGGAAATACCATAAAGATATAAAGATAATAATTATTAAAAAACAACGTATTGGTCTAAATTCTCAAACACTGATTGTGAAGAATTTAGTGTATATTTGTGAAAAAATAAGCAATTAAGAAAAAAAGTTGTATTTAACTTTGTTGAAATCTTGTATCTAAATACTTTTTATTGAAAATAATTTAAGAATATTCTTGAGCTTATTGTTTGGTATTGAATAAAATATTAATATAATTCAATTTAACTTATTCAAATATTTATAAAGAAGAAACTTTATGAAGAAAAGCTTGTGCAAAGCTTACAATCGTATAAGAGCTGCCTGAATATCAAATTTCGCTTGAAAGTCTCAATTTTATTTTATAAAATCGGGTTTAATTTTAATTTCATAGATAGAAATTTGTTAAAAATATTTGACTACCCAATCAGACAGTTTTTTCATATTCGAATTTTCAAAAATCAAATGTACGTTTATTGTGGAATTGTGCTTAAATTTGAATAAATCTGAGTGAATTTTGTTAAGTTGTTAATAATTTTCGTTTAGCTATATTGTATTGCTTAATGTGTATAATGTATATAAAATACGGCAACCAAGATGTCAATTGTATTGCACTCTACAAGTATAGGATATAATCTTATAAAATATTATTCAATCTTGTTGCTCCTAAGACCTCAAGAATATAGGTTGAATTTAGCATTCTTGAGTATTAAGGTTTAATTCAAGAATTAAAAAATTCTTTACCTGCCTGAGATTGTTTCAGATAATTTTGTCTTTTATGTAATAATGCATGACATTTTTATAATGTGTTATGTGGTGACGCAGTTTGGTTCTCGTAATATCCTTACATGGAGCTTGATGCTAAAAGTATACTGATCAGGTCCTTTTGAGCCTATTATAACTGGTCAATAGCCCGATTGTTAATAGCGTTGAGTTTCCATTCTATTAATATGACAATCTTCATCTATGAAACTACATCCATTTAATGACTGACACATAATAAATAATTTTTTTTCTGGTCATTTTTATTTTTCCCCATTCATTTCAGTTGCTGACATGTATTGGTCTTAAATTGTTAGACTAGAATAACTACTACAAACGGCAATACACATATTATAATTGTAATAATACTTGTATTATTCTATATTTGTATTTAAGTTAAATTAATTTAGTCTTTCATGTCGTAAACTAGACATAGGATACCAGTTAAGGACAGACTTTTATGTAGACTTGTAGTGGCGTTATTTACAGCACCGATACTTTTTGTGAATGTAAGGAGTGTTTAAAGCTCAATTCCTGAGACAAATTGTTAAGTCCTCAGAATTTTAAGCGTATTTCTGACAACGGAGGACGAAGTATGTATCGAAGTGTCCTCTATATGCCCATTCGTCAATATTGGTAATTTCTATCTTGCATCAACTTTGTTTTAAAAACAGTAAATTTTCGGAAACATCTACATATATAAACGAATATATGTATCTATGTTGTTTGACAGTATAGTTACTTCGTCTCTATCTTCATTTAATTACATTGTGTTATTTATGCCACGGTTTCTTTTAGATTATCTGTCTTAATTTAATATCATTTAAAACACTATTAAATATCACAGCCAAGAGGTAATATATTTGGTTGACATCTATTGCAATCAAATAGGATTTTGTTTCTAAGTGAGTGTTGTGAGTTTGAGTGAATAGTTTGTTTTATAAATGCGGTTTTTATTTGATTCCAGTTATGGATAAAAAGGAAAAAATGAGTTTATTATGACAATATTATGATACAACAATACTTAGTCATATTTCAATGGAGCTCTTGTAAATCTACATTGATTCTCGCCAAGTACTTTCTCAGTTACTCTTTTAATTCCATATTCTAAGATAATTTTTAGGAATTATGACCTCGGTTATATAGTTATAATCTTATACATAACATAGAATACCACTTTTTTGAATCTTCATTTGTTGATTTGCACTTTTTTCTAACATTCTAATTTGGTATTTGTATAAAAAGAATAATAATTATTAAATCATCAAATGTTGGTGTATATGATGTTTATGTAATAGTTTATAATAGAGACTTAGATTTAATAGAACGAAGCACTTCGACAAAATTATAAGATATAATTAACAGGTTGCTATCTTTCCGATAAATCATCCAAGTCCGTTCACAACTGTTGTCAACTGTTATTTACCCACAATAAATTATTAAAATTATTTTAAAATTTAACTCATTTATCTCTTATCCGCAAATTTTTTTTTATAATCTTTTTTATAAAAATTTTGTGTATAATCCACATTTTCATGATTTTATATTTTAAATTAAAAAATGTGATTCATATTGATATGAGCTCATTATTCAGTATTGTCGCGTCAGATTATAATTTGTATTTATTGTAATAAAAAAATATGTACCAACTCAAAGTTCATTGATAAGAATTTCTGTTATTTTGAATAGAAAAAATAATTTCTTTACAGAAGTCTATATAAACAAAAACTGCTCATATATTCAGAGTGGTTAAATTGTGAAATATATTCTCTTATATCTTATAAGTAGACAAATGTTAATTTGAGATGATTCAATTTCTAGTAATCATACTCTTTAATTTAAATACTATATGTATATAGACAACGTAAATTTTAAATTTTATAAAATTATATGAATTTGAAACAAACCTAATAATAGCTAAATAATTTTTAAAAAATATTTTATGTAAACTTGTAAGAATCTGAATGATATATATGTAATAAGCTATATGTATACAGTCCAAGGATATTGTGCGATTCACTTTATTATTTGTGTTGTTAGTCTCACAGATTTTAGACACTTCCTAGCTAACACTTGTTTTTAGTTTGGAACATTCATTAATTCAAAATCTATTCGCTTGTGTACTATTCATAAATTATGCATATTCATATAGTACAACCAACGCACCTGTTTGTTTATAGATGATAGTAAGGAAAGAAACATATATAAGAACATTTCTTTAAGAAAGGCTATTAAGCAACAATTTTTAAGTCTCGATATTTTGAGAGAAAGATCTATCGGGTGGTAGTGTAGTAGAAAAAAAAAATGATTGTTTGAAACGATAAGTTATCGAACTTCTTATTAATGATCGGAATACCACTATTGTTATTTTAATGGTATTATATATCATTAAAAAAAATACTGGGACTTTTTTAAAATATTTTTTTTAATAGCATTTAGCAATATAATATTAACAATTTATTCGTACGAAAAAAATTGTAATATTTTCTGCATTAACAAGGATCTCCCGGTTTATAATAAAAATTTGAAATGTTTGTTTAAAATATATATGTGTATATATTTTTCTGAACAGTGTATCAATTACATTATCCTATTCTAAAGTAAATTTTAACTTTTATTTTCATAATTTTGAATAATATTATTACTTTTTTGATCGACTGTAAGAAAATGTAATAATTTTTTATTTATAAATTTAAAATTTTTTATAGATTAAAATTAGAAGCGCTTTTTTGTTAGGTGCTACTGAGACAATTTGGTTAAGTGTTATAAAACATACTACACATAAAAAATCAACTTCTACTATTATATATTTATATACTTACCATTTAATAGATATTTACAATATCAATATCAAAGGGGACAAAACATTAAAGCACAATAATTATTTTGTTAATACACAAAACGACACACAAAAAAGAAAATAAAATAAATTCCTTATAATAAAATTTTGTATACATTTTATTTTGTGCTGTATATAAGCTTTTTTAATTAGTTATTTCACTTAAAATTAAACACATATATAGTATTACTTTGTACTCTACTTAACATATATAAGATACATTTTAATAATATATGATTCTTAAATTATTATTTTATGGAAAAAAAATTATAAATCTATATACAAAAAAAAAAAACAAAAAATTAAAAATTAAAAAAATTTCTTATAAAAGTTAAAATTATAAATTAATTCAAGTAAAAATATTTTACATTGTAACACTGAGCTTTAAACACAAAATTATTAACTGCATTTTGTGCAAAATAAGGAGGTTTGTCATAAATTAAATAATTTTAAATAAAAAAGTTATTTAAAAGCTTTTAAGCTGATTGCATGTTAATTGAGCTTTACTCTTCAGTTGTATTTACAACTTAAAAGCTTATTTGTTTTAAAGCTTTGATTTTAAGCTTAGTTTAAAAATTGTTGCCAGCTTGTTGAATTTTAATATCTTTAGACCCAAAGTTAGTAAGAAAGCTACTTCAAATGTTTATAACATTTCTTTCTTGCATATTATTTGTATTATTAAATGAGGATATTTAATAGTGTTTTTTTTATTATGATTATTCGTATTGTAACTAACCACCGTTGGGCGTTTCAAGTATAGCTGATCGCATAGGTTTGTCAATTTTTACATGTAAACTTGCAAGCGTTGTATCCACTGGTACATCTACTTCTTGAGAACCACGAAGTGCATCAGCTACAATATTTAACTGAAAGAAAAAATAATAATTAAAGAAAAACTTTTAATATATCTATATATATATTTTCTTGTACTTTTAAAACTTCAGAATTTAGTTAGTTCTTACGGGCGTTAAGATAAGTTAATAAATTACGGTAATCCTAAGGGTCTACTTAGGTCTATTGTCGAAATATGCTATCTTATAGAAATCTAAGTGATTTCAAACATTTCAAAATATTTAATTAAGTGTGTTTTCATAACCCACGATGTCTCGTCAGTTACTATGTCAGTCTGCTATAGAACTGATATATCTGATGTGTCAATGTGACTACATGGTGGATTAAATTGAAAGAATTCGAAATTACTTTTTATATCACTTTTGCACATGATATTAAACATTAGTATTCTTTGATTTCAGTTGTACTTTTGGGCACGATATCATTTCCAAGGAATACCTATTTGACAAAGATTTAGTAAAGAAAGCTCATAAAGCTAAATAATAAAATTTTTTAATGTAATGTAGTTTAGTTTTTGAAATATCAGGGCTTGTGATGCATCGTTTACTTCTATTCACATTTTACATAACTCCTATAGTAAACACAGCTATATCAAGCAACTTTTTCCTTTACAAAAACAGCTTAGATTTCGAAATATCTGGTCCGTTTATATATTGTTACTTGTCGATTGGTGTGTCTTCATTTTTATGTCATGCAGATGATTATTTAGTTAATTCAGTATTATATTGCTTTTCTTTGATATCAATCTTTTAAGTTCAGTTATCTGCCACTGGTAACAAAATAAATGGTAGTCTATAATGACTTAAGCTCAACAATCTGGTGAGTGTTCACAGTATTGAAGAACTACAGGGCTGTACTCGTCGTTTGTGTATCTTGTGATATAATTTACATATACGAGTCGGAGTGGTAGATGGTATGTGTATTCTTTCTACTACTAAAATCAATATAAAAATTTTACAGCTTAAATCTCGATATATCGTAAAGTGAACTATATCGGCATGTGGAGTAGTGGAACAAATTTACTAAAAACAGTCGACTACTATACAGCCGACCGCGTTGTCTAATCGGCGTGCCTGAGAAATCAGAATTACCCCAATGTGTATTATCATAACAAAAATGCTTTTGAAAAGTTTGGAAAATATCATAACTATTCTTTTAATGTATATTTGTATCAAAAATACAAATATATTTACAAATATATGCTTATTAATGGTAAATATTACAAAAATTTTAACTTGACATTTGTATAACACTTCGGGCGATAAATTTACTTATCACCTGCCGGTAGATTGTTATTATTTATATTATTTCTGGAAGAAGCTAACGCATCTGGCATCAGATAAGATAAGCAAAAAATCTGTATAAATTTGTTCTCATATAAAATTGAGTGAGTATACGTCACTATATTTACATTAAATAGTTTTCTTATGATAAGAATAATTTATAGTTGAAATATTAAATATATAAAATAACAAATAAAAAATTGTATATATATATTTGCTAATATTTTAAATCAATTTTTGATGTTGATTAAAGTTTAAAAACTGTAAAAGTTTACTTTACAAAAATAAAATAAAATAAATAAATAAACTCATAACTCTATAGTAGTTTATGTTCTTTGCTTTTTGCACTTACTGACGTGTAAGTCATGAAGAATAAATATATATACATACACCTTCGTAAATAAGATAAACAATCTAACATCTGCTTAATCGCAATTAGCATTTTCTCATAATATTGTTTGAGCATAATGACTTTATTAAGTTTTATCATCCTTCACTTTTATTTCCATAACCTAGTTTTGAACAAAAGTAATTTGTTATATGTTTATGATATTATATATAAAAACAATATTAAATTTATTATTATATAAAGAATCGTATCATTTGTAAAACTGCAGAATAAAATTGTGCGTATAATATTACAAGTATCTGCATGAAATCTTTTTCATTATATTCACTTTCAGTTTCTGCTCTGCTCAGCTCTGTTCAGCTCTGTTCAGCTCTGTTCAGCTCTACGCCACCTTACCTGTCATATAAAGAGTGCTTATAAGATTTTTATTCCACTATATTTGCACTTTTTAACCTCATCTACATTTGAATTATTGTACAAGTACAAGTATATTTCCACGCTTTGATATAAACTTGTACATTTTTATGCCGAATGAAAACAAAACAAGTTTTTTACGCTATTTTCATTAAAATGTAAAATATTTATGAAGAAAACTTGTTATGGCTTATAATCATTATTATTATTACTGGAGTAATTAACGAGCTGTGCTTTTTTCTATTCATACTATATACATACATATATGCATTTGAATATAATATAAAATTATATACCCGTGTAAATGTTTGAATTGTTCAGTTACATTATCAACTAACTAACTAACAAACTGAAAATCTGACAATCTGACAATCTGTTTATATTCAATATAGAAAAAATTATGCCAGAGAATTTATTTCTATTTTATGTTTTCTAATCTACACACAGCTTTACCCGCGTATACTCGTATATTGTAACATTCTTTGCATAGCTACTACTTACCGTGTTGCCTTCCAATTCTTGCGAATTCTCACTGCCGACAATGTGCAATATTTCGCCGCCGGACCGTATTGCTACTTCACCTAAAATACCGCCCACTTCATCTTGAGTTTCATTTTCACTTATTGCTCGCTCTCCATACCATATCAAGTAAAGCTATAAATTAGATAATGCAATATTACAAAAAAAAAAAATAGTTTTATTATTTTAATGATAAAATATATAAACAAATTTTTATTTAAAAAGAAAATTGAAATGCAAACCCGTATTCTCTTTTTAAGTAGTGTTATAGCTGCGTCCTGTACCAAATCGGTATGATCTGGTATTTCAGCAGTGCAAATAAATACGGCACTGTCGTATGGCACTAATTCAGAGGCATGTACAATGCCTATAAATGCATCACCGCCATCGTTCTCTTTAATACTATTCAAGCCGGCTAAAAATTGTCGAGTATTATTAAAATTATAAGCAGCTGGGGACCCTGCAATGTAGATATAATATTAATGGTACAAATACTTTCAAGTGTAATTATATTTAATCTTTTATATTTAATATTTTTTATTTTGTATATCAAAATATGAAATGCAGATAACATAAGCATTACAAACAAAATACTAATCTATAAGCGTAATATGCGATCTAATATACATATATTATTGCTGGGTGGCTTTTTGTCAAGTGACAAGTTCAGTAACTGGAAAAATTCCAGTCACTACAAAATATCACTTTTATACGAATTTTTAATGTTCCTTGGTACGTTAGAACAAAAGAGATTTATTGAAAGATATGTCCATGTAACGCCGATCAAATCTGTAACATTTAGATGTTACAATAATATTGCAATAACATGTTAAAGTTCAAAAATTGAAGTGTTAAAGTAAATTTCAGTTATCTATGAAACATTTTTTAACAAAATATTTTCGTTAAAATCGTCTATCAGGTTTCTATATATATGCCATATAGTATATATAGTACTATATATATTTGCAGCTCGTTTAATTGTAGTATACGAAAGCTAGTTTGTACTTTACAACTTGTAAAAATAAAATTAATTTATTCAAATATAACAGTTATATGCTATTATGAAACCTAAGAAATGTAGGTATTTTATATTGTGATACCTAGAAGATATAGCTATTTTCACCTACTATGATACCAATTAAATGTATGTTTCTTCAATTATTTTTGTTTGTGCAGACTATCAGTAATAGGGTTCTACAATTTAAAATTGTGAAAAATGAAGAACATGAACAATTTATATAAGAAATTTATAAATAATATATTTATATTATATAAACTTGTATAAATTTATATTATGTAAATTCTTTTCAGGTAATATAAAACAATTTTTTATTAGTTGTGCTTGTTCAGTTGTGGATGAATTCCTTTTCTTCACCAGAAGAGTATATATATCACTAAAAAAGAATTTATTTTATATATATTTATAAAATATAAATTCATTTTTGGTGATATGTAGAAATTTCTTTTTTTTTTCTTGTGCAGGCTTTAAGTGTAGGGTTCTATAACATATGAGAAAGGCAACAAAAGGAGAAGAACTTTAATTTTTAATAATATTTGAATGCTTTTCAAGTTAAATACATGTTTCGTTTATTATTATTATTTTATTTTTTTGTATAGACTCTAAAGAAGAAGATTCCAAAGTGTTTAAATAAATAAATAGAAAATATTTTTATTCTTATAAGACCTTTCAAATGAAATATAGTGATAACATGTTAATTTGTAAAGTCGAATATGACGCGTCTTAATTTATTGATTTGAAAAAAAAATAGTTTTTATGCTAGAAGGGTTTGAACAGTAATGAAGCAACAGCAGCAACAATTTTAATTAATTTATTGAATTCTGGTTGACCATACAACACTGTTTTGTGAATTGCTGATGATTTCAAAATCAATGAAATTCGAATATTTCCTAAAGATCACTGATGATGAGTACTTGGCAATACTCGAAACAGCATTGTATGGTCAACTAAATTTCAATAAATTAATTAAATTTTTTGTTGCTGTTGCTTCATTACTGAAGTATGTTGTTTTATTGTTAGATATAAATAGTAATTGAGATATTATTTTCTTCTGAGGACTATTCTTTTGGTAACTCTTTTTCTTAATATTATATACATTTTTTTAGGTGGAGTATGTGGAATTTTTATTATTTTTTTTTAATTTTTAGCTTATGGTATATATAAGTAAGAAGTTTCTGCTGCTAATTGAAATTGGCATAGATGAAGAGAAACTGTTATTCTTATTCTAAATTTAAATGTCTTTGAAGTGAAATATAAGGATTATTTATTATTTTTGCTTATATGGACAATAAATAATAGAATTTTAACGATTGCAGACAACTTCTGTTATCTAGCCTTATATTTGTAGATACAATATTTTTCAATATTACCAATAACCTTGCCTGGCACTGCGAGTAAAATTTATGAAGATAATCGGTTAAAGTAAACTATGGAGGCGCATCGTAAAAACTAAAAATAATATAAAATAATTTTATACTATTTTTAATATTCATTTATGATTTTTAATTTTTATATACCATAAAACTTATTGAAATAAAACTATTGGAATTATAAAAAAAATGCACATTAAAATAAAAAGATATAGTGATTTTTTATTTTGTTACCTGAAGCATTTAATGAGACCAAAACGATTTTAATATTCAAATTCATACGCAATGCATCTTGCCAAAGCGTTTTAGTTTTCTCCAAAGATTCCGGTGATGGATCGACGATGACGGCAAGTGGCATGCGTATATAGGCATCTTCGATGTAGTTGCGTAACTGCTCATGTGGCAGTAATTTACGTCGTGAAATGTTTATTTGTTTACCCTGCTTGCCTACTGGGCGCAATGTTGTTGTTGTTGTTGCTGTCGCTGTTATTGTTGTAGGTAAGGTACCAACAGATGGTGATGCTGTTGCAGTTGTTGTTGTTGTTGATGTTGTTATTGGTTTTGAGGTTGTTGTTGATACTGATATCGATGTTGATGTTGATGTCGATGTTGTTGATAATTCTGATGTACCTGTTGTTGTGGGGCGTACAATTGCAACATTTGGTTGATATATCATCGGAAGCACTGTGGATGTTTGAAAATTAATCGGTGCAAAAGTTGTTTTACTATCTCGTTGAATTTGTTGTTCATTGCTTTCATGTGAGTCTTCATAGTATTCTTCTTCAGAGCTATTCGGATGAAAGTGTTGATTGCGATACTCGTTTGGCAGCAATTGTTGTTGAGGTAGCGGTAAAGGTTGTTGGTGTGGTGTTTCTGTTAGATTATTTGTTTCGGCATCATTGTTTATTGTGTTTGCAAAGTTTTGATAAAACTTCATGGCAAGTGGTAAAACATCTTCAATATTTTTTATTTTATGATTCTCTGTATTTTGTAGTTGTTGTTGTAAGTTTTGTTCATTCTGCCCATCATCAATATAATCGGATAGTGAGATATTTGTATCAGTATCTCCTTCCGATTCATTTGGTGTTGGTACCGTAACTGGAAATATTTCTGCTTTACCTTTACGCACATACTCCGGTACTAATGTTGTAGCAGCTGTAGAATTGATAGGTTTTGTTGTTGTTAAGACGTTTAAATTAACTGGGAAATGCTCATCGTAGTCTTCACTGATATCTTCTTCATCTGTAAGATTTTCACGTTCAGTTGAGGTTCGTTGTGTAGATATTTCATTATTCAAAATTGTGTGCACACTTTTTGGGGGTAACTCAGTCTGTTCATCTTTGACAGTACTATCTTCTGTTTTTTGTTTTTTCTCGAATGTTTCTGCTTGCTCTATAAGTGTTGTTTCAAGGATATCATCATTTTTACTACTGGGACTATCATCGCTTGATGAATAATCGGAATCACTGTAGTCTGAACTAGCCTTAATATGGGTTATACTAAGAGCTAATATAACGTATGTTAATATTAATAATTTGGGTAATGTCACTTTGAAGCCGATATTTTTCAGCTCAGTTCGGTTACTTTTTATGGATCTCATACTTGTAAGTTTTTTTTTGTATTATATATTTAATTAAATATATGTGCGAAACTTTTGTGCTGAACTTATTTTTAGAATTATTATTTGTAAAAAGGCAGAAATAAACGCATCATCTCATAAATTCTATAATTATCTGTAAATAAAAAACAAAAAAATTATGAAATAACAGTTAAATTACTTTATTCAAATAAAGCAGAAATGAAAAATATTTTTATATAATTTTTAAGTTAATAGGTATATGTTAATTCTTATTGTATTCAATTTCTAATTCAATTTGAATGTAGTTTTGATGTAGATTTATTACATTCCTCAATTATATCGTGTTTATATTTAGTATCTTATTATAATATTCAATTTTTTTTTTATTGTTTTCAGGTAATTTAATCAAATTTGTAGTCAACATACTTCTGGTAATAAAATAATTTTATTGGTACTTTCAAATAATTTTGCCAAACGGTTGCGGTGATTACGTTTCAGTGATAAGTATTTCATATTGTTAAGCATAATTGATTGATTGTTTAGTTTTATAATCTAACAACAGTTATTTAATTATTTTGACACAGTTTTTAAAATCGTTGTATTTTTAATAGTATTTTTGTTTTATTTTTAAAACTATTTTATAATTTTTTTTTTGCCTCTAGCAAATCGGTTAAATATTTTTAAAAGGAAAAGTGAAATTTGATTTGATTTCGTTTAATAATTTTATGAAGTTATTTGTTATTTTAAAAAGAAGTGCTTTTCAACGACGTAATTAAACTTAAAGAGATAAATTTTAATTATAAATTTCCAACGAAAGTAATTATAAATTAGAGATAATTAAACTGTTATTAATAAGTTTAAAATATATTATTTGGCATATAAATATGATAAATCACTTCTAACGCTGTGAATGTTTTTAACGCTGTTAAAATGCTGTTAACTTAACATAAAGTACTATGTATAAAAGTTTGGACTTAACAGTTAGGGTATATAAGAAATATTCTGAAATTCCTATAAACAAATTTAATATTGTTGTTAAGAAGGGAAAATAATCGTTGTTATGATGTAAGGGCACTCAAACAATATTTACAAAAATGAACTGTAGTGGACTATCTCGAAGGCTATGTAAAGTTGTTTAGGCGAGATGTGAATATAAAATATAATATATATTTAATATAAATATAAAATGAATATAAAATTAGAATTGTGTGTGTAGGGGCGTCAGGCTTCGCAATGTAAAAGTATATTTTTATCTCTTGTTAAAGTATAAGAAATTTCAGGTTATTATATTGATTATTTGTAGTATTATCTAGACTTTTGGCGTTGATTCTACATAGTTTCAATGAACACAGATGTAATTAATCATGCACCTAGAGTGCTCTCCATTGAATGTGATCTATAGTGTTGAACCTATACTGCTCTTCATTGATTATAACATTCCGCCTAATCCCTTCATTTTGAAAGAGAAAAATGAACGAAATATATATTAAGATTTTAATGTTAAATGTTGCTTCTGTGATTTGTATGTCGATATAGGTACAGTAATAATTTGCTGTCAATTGATACTTGCGATTTTCAATATATTAACCTGTGCAAAATTTTGAGTTTTAAACTCAGCACTTTACGTTTCAAAAAAGTTATTTGCAGAGCAAGTTTCTTTGAAAAAATATTAGATGTCTATTTATTATTATTAAGCGGTAGTTATTATATCCGAAGTGATAGCTCTGCTGAAGGCGTTCTGTTTGTTTTACATATATAAAATACATATACATTTAATATATATATTATATATTACATATATAGGATAAACAAATGCGCTGAAAAATAAAAATAGATAGCAAGATTGGAATATATATCTTCTAGAATATATGTATATCTTCATTTTATAAAAACCATTTAGATGTTATCATAAGGATAGTCAAAAGGGGTCACGGGAACATGACCTGATTTAAAATGTTATTAATATTTGTATTATTTTTGTTATAAAAACTTTGTAGTTACAAATACAATATGCTAAGTAAATGTAAAGTTCATATTTAAATAAAACAAATGAACTATTTAAATGCGGCCTACACAATTTTTTATTGATTAGACCCTGCTCCCTCTGTCCAGCTTACTGGCAAGCTTTATGAAAGCTTGTCTCAATAGGGCAAATCTTATGAATTAACCATAGTATCATCGCAAAAATGACTCTTCAAAAAAAGGTATTCGTCGATCTTAATAAGTCAAAATTACAGTGTCCAAAGACCGTTACAGAGATTATATTAGTGTTCTATGCTTCGAGTAAAATGATTAATATATATAATATCATTATTGTTTTACTATTCTATATAAATATGTATACTGATAAGGAAATAATAATATTAATAGACAGTTTATTATTTGAATAGTTCGAACTATTTTAATATTAACGTTAGTGATCATGAATAGGTAAATACAAAATGGAAATAAAACTCAAATGAAATGAAATTAAATTTGTTTGGCATGCAATATTGAATAGGTCATAAAAAAGTACATAATTAGAAATAAATAATTATGTACAAAAGATACAACACGAAATAATTGAATATATTTGCATTAATTTCTTTGTCAATGATTATTTTTGAACTTGGACCACCGACCACCAGCGGCACGCTTACACTGAAAACTGAAATAGCCAATGTTAATTCAAAGTGAGCAAAATACAAATTTAATGCAAAACTAAATTATATAAAATAAATTATATAAAAGCTATAACACTGCGTTTGTTAGTCCGTCACTATTTTAAAATTTCAATGAGCACATTTAACAAAATATTTTGCATATCTTCACGCCTACCGATTTAAAGTGCATGTAAAAAAACACCATACAAGTTTATGAATATTTTAAAAAAATATTAATTATATCTATAAAACTGCCAGAGATACAAACAAATAAATTTTTGTAAAAATAAATATAAGGTAGTTTCTTTGTATTATAGTTACGAGTTTGATTTGCAGACAGTATGTCAATGCAGGTCTTTGACTAACTCAGTTAAACAATTCCATCTCTAAAGTCTATAGAAATACGTAGTATCTGCTACCAGCTGCGCAGTCTGTCAATAATACATTTGGCTCTTCTTATTGATTTCAATAATTTATTTAAACTTTTGATTATATTTATTTGTTCATGTTAAAATGCAAGGTCAGTGCATATTGATTTATAAAGATAAATAAGCCGGTCTGTCTGTAGAGCATTTATACGTTACTTCAAAATGTATTTTGGTCGAACATCGAACATCATTCACTCCATTTATTCAGGTTAGTAGTGAGCATTAAACAATATATATATTTTCTACCGAATCTTTTTTTCAGGTGCACAAATTAATCTTGTGTTTCTGTTTAATTAATGCAATTGTTTTATTTTTATTTTTTATGGATAAACTTCTATTTTTTTTAAATTTTTTTTTTGTAAAATTTTTTATATTTATGGGTTTTTGAAATTAATTTATTATTTTTGTTGTTTATTTCTAAATGGAATCTAATTTTTTGGTGATTTTTTTACAGTAAAAAAAAATCTATTTTGTTTGTTTTATCTACTTCACACAAAAATATATTAATTTTTCTGTGTAACCAAAATTTTAAATAGAAATCAAAATTTTTATTAAGGTTGGTAGCTTTGGTTAGTTAAACGACCTTCTATAGATCATTGTTTATATCTGGTAATAAATTTCTATAAAGTTAGCAGGTTTTGGTACCAATGATATAGCTCCCTCTATTTCAGTATAATTATTCGTCCATAAAATAATTTTATGACGTAAGCAACTCAGATAAGTTGTTTTGGGGTTATTGAGGTTTTTATTTTGGTAAGAATCTCTTATTTTTATTAAAACTAAAAAGAGGAAAGAAGTCTGATTTTTTATTTTTAACACTAAAGTATTAATATTTAATAAAATATACTAAAATTTTGGATTATATTAATATTATACTTGAACTATCTACTTTTATTTAAGCGATAAGCTGTGAATTAACTCAATATAGTATATATATATATACATATGTATATAAAATGTGTGTCAATTGCATATATATATTTGACGGCGGATATAAATATTAATATTAAACTAACCAATTCCTATAAATATGTCCAAACCTTTTAAAACTATTTTGTTGTTGTTTTTGAATGAGAAAACAGTGCTCATATTTGTGCGTTTAAGATTAGTTATTTTACATTAAAAAAAATTTTAGTTATGTTCAAAAAGATACTATGTCTTTTTCGTTTTTAAAATATGAAATAGGTATGAAGACTGACAATAATTATAAGTACAATTCTAATCATATTATTTTAATAAAGTTAACAAAGTTCACGTCTATTGCTTCCAGTGAGTATATGATAAAGTCCCTTGCTGGACTTTTATCCAAAGAGTCACAGTATAGTAGTAAACTTCCACTTTTTAGTACTTTTAAGATGTTTAATAAATGTTATAAGCTGCATGTTAAGCGTTTAGTGTTAAATTGAATAGAATAAAATAAAAACACTATAGATTCCAGACTTCCTTGAAACAGTTTACTTAGACCTTATCAGATTTAGTGTTAAAACTCAATGCAATTTAAAACTACTCTGACTTTTTTATAGGTTTTTGTATTTTAATGACTTGCAGCGTGATATCCTATATTAAAAACATTATTATTGTTACCCTAACAAATCACTGCTATAATAAAAGTTTAGAGCGGAAACACAATTTTTTCATTCAAAATTGATAATTTTGAGTGTTGCATTGAATTACTTCTTAATTTTATAGACATTGAAATATTCTATAGAATGCCTGTGTCCTATCAATCGCCATTTCTTTCTTCTGATCTCGATTTTTACAGGTTATAAAATATAAACACATGGATATATTATTATTTCTAATAATAATATATTTATAAATTATTTATATATATATTATATATATTATATTATATATATATATATATATTATATATATATAATATATATATATATAATATATTATATATTTATTATATTATTATATTATATATATATAATATATATTATAATATTATTATTTCTAATAATAATATATAATAATATATATATTAATATCCACACAATTTAGAAATGTTTATGTTAAAGGAAATTAT